CATGAAATGCTCCAAATAAGAGATCCGGGCGATGTTCGAAAACACAAATGCTTAGAAAGCACCACTGTAGTCGAAGTAAACAAGCACGACGACACGGGCATTTCTGCTTTCTTAAGAGCGTTGCCACAACATCGCCGCACGAGTAGGTGGATCTTCCCTTCTAGTACGTGCTGGGTTATCATAACGACAGACAACGAAAATTCACAGTCAAGGATAGCGCTTTTACGCGGAACAATAAGCTTCCACCACGCCGTCTACGTCGACGATCACAACAAACGCCATGTTTGTGGATAGAAGCAGCCGGCCCGCGACCGGCATGCAACGCTAGCGAACAATTCTCGACCTGCGATTGGTCTGTCGTTGCGGTTGTTTCCAACGCAGCGGAGAGATGCACGCACGTGAACGACACGTGCGTGCGTCTCTCCGTTGCTATGGCAACTGAAGCCTCTCTCTTCGCTGCTCCCCGCTTCTTCGAGCAACCTCCTTGCCCCGCGAGAGCCGCTTGCGGCTAGCGCCGTTATCTAGTGTCGCACAGGGAAGCGTGCTCACTGCACTGGTCGGTCGGCGCGGTCGGCGGGCTGTTCCAGAAACCGCACTATAACCGGTATTTCCCTTTGCGCGCCTGCATTTTAAGCGGTATGTAATTACATGGAGTTCTATGGGAGGCGAACTGGTGGTTTAAAAACGCCGCGTTATACCCGGTCCTGCATTATAAGCGGTTACGTTGTAAGTGGTCTATACTGTATAGCCGAAGCTATTTATAGTAGAGATGTTAAACTTTTAATGAATGATCTATGTATAGCCTAGGTAAGGGTCGCCTTAAGATATAATTATTGTTGTTAAAGACGAGTTTCGAGGAAACATCCAAACATGTACCTACAGGCAATTATGCCCTAAACCTGGTAATTTTTTTTGCCTACATAGTTTGAGGTATCGCAATTAAATTAACACCACAGACAGTACATATCATTACCGTCTGCAGAATACGAAATAATATATTGTTTTTTTTTTTTCACGTGGAGGAATAAATTAATTCATGGGGGGAGATATCTAAAATTGTTCAAGTTCAACACGTCATAAAAAAAAAAAAAATGTTTTTGGGACGTGTTTTTTTTGGCCTGTACACATTTTGGTAGGAGAAATTTGTTTCATAGTTCTGGGCCTCTGAATATGCAAGAATACAACACTTCCGGCAGGTTCTTGATAGTTTTTTTTTTCTCTACGACTTTTTATTTTTGCGTGTATTGTTATGTTTAATTATTGATTATTTTTTACCAATGGCACAGTTATTTAGGTCGAAAAGACATAGCTTTGAACTTCCGAGCCACCGAGCATGTGACGAGTAGTGCCTTCTGACGAGTTTCTAACAATGGCCATCTACGCGATCTTTTATGCAGTGAAGAGCGACAGTAGCTATACATATGCATAAATAATTTCAGATTAAAATAAGCTCGACCATTCCCTCTTTCCCCGTATTGTTTTCTTGAACAGTCCGAAACATCTAGGACGGGGGGGGAGAGAGAGAGAGAGAGAGAGACTGGAGCCCCCCCCTTCCCCCCCGTTTTTCCTCTTTCGACGCCACTGGTATGGTAAAACGCTCCTCGACCTCAAGTTGCGTCAGCTTCTATGCTTTTTGCTCAGCGTTTCTTCCGCCCCAGAAAATAAACATCCAAAGCAATTACACACAAAAAAATTGTCAAGGTGCAGGCGAGCTGGTGTATGTTGATCATGATGCAAAATCTTAAAACTGGGAATGAAATTCTCAAGAAATAGTGTAAGAAGAAAGAAAAAGGGGACAGGACGTCTCAAACTCACCTGAGCTGAGTTTGAGACGTTGTCCTGTCCCCTTTTTTCTGTCTTCTTACACTTTTCCTTTCAAATTGCATTCCCAGTCTCAGGATTTTGCATCATGTACAAACAAAACTTACTATATGCCAGCGTCACTCGGGCGGCGTTCGATCGGATTACTACCAGCGTGCGAGGGGTAGGGGGCAGTTTGCCAGATCACTTGAAGGTTTTTCTGAGCCTCAACCACCTGCCTGCCCCTGGCCGTTTCGAACTGGATGAGTATCGTTAAACAGTGCGTTCGTAGGATCACTACTTCGTGATGCACGTTAATGACCACCCCGGGCTGGCGGGCGGTCACAATTACTGATCTATTGTCACACGTCACTCTGCACTGGCAAATATTCCAGCACATTTGGGACACTCGTCGTCTCATTTAATTGCCTGACCAACTTCGCGCGAACTTTTCTAAACCTGATTTTGTGAAAACCAGTGAGGCGTGAAAACGTTATTTGAAACTGAAACTTGCGGAACATGAAAACCGGACTTCGAACTTTGCGCACTTAAACTTAAAAAATTAAAAACCTTTTTTTTTTTTTTTTTTTGAATTTAGTTTTAAAAGAGAATTGAAACCTTTGAACTTTTCGAACTTTATGTAGAAAGAAATTCGAAATCTTCGATATCAACTTTATGTCTTTAAGATTTCGAAACGTTGGAATTTTTCGATATTTTGATCCAAAAAAATTTGAAACATCCGAATCTCTCTATTTTCAAATTAGGGAAGTTCGAAATCTTCAAATTTATCGAACCTCAAGTAAACAAATATTCGAAATAATCGAACCCAAACTTTTAGAATTCATCAAAGCTTCAAACTTTTCGAATTCGAAACCCCACGATTCTGGAAAGTTGCGAATTTTTCTAATTCGAACCTCCGTACCGTTCAAAATATCTAAACCTTTTGAATCCGAACCTGGGGTGGTTCGCGGCATCCCTAAGCTCAAGGAGGTTAGAAGTACTAGGAGAGGGCACGTTGCAATATTGGTGAAGCCTAGTCATAAAAAGTTTAACCGATGTTGTGGCCAACGTGACCGCAGATCTCTCTGGCTATTGGTGCGCGTGACATGTCACGTGTGAGATGGATGGTTGATTGTAGAAGGACTAGCTCCTTGCAGGCTTGCGCGCGCTCCGTCCGGTAGGTTTTATCAGATCAAAAGCTAGACTGTGGTGTATTTTAGTACCCCATGGCTAGACGAAGGCTAGCTACGGTCACGTGATCTGGTCACATTACCCTGGTAAGTGAGGAGATGTAAGGAGGAAAATGATAAAGAGGTGGAGGCGTCAAGGGAGCATGGCTTGTGAAGGCTACGCGGCTGGCGTCATGCCCTCTCCTACCCTTTTATCCTCCTTGCCTAAGCTTTACCCATCTGTTTTATTCGTCTGAAAAACAAAGAAAAAGAAAGGAAAACATTGTACCGTTGCCAGAATACTCTTTTCCCCCCGCCAAAAATCCGCCAGTGAAAAAAGGTCCGCGCGCCTGCGGACGAGGCGCTGATCACAAGAATCGGTGACGTGACGGTCGTGTGGCACACGGGGTACACAGTCCGTGGACGAAAATCGCGATTCGTTCCGTCGTGTGAATCGGCTGCGGTCAGCCGTGACCCACCCGAAAACGCCGCTTGTTTTTCAACGAAAGATCGGCGTACGCACAACGTCGTTCGACCAACTCAGTGGAGAGTGACGCCCACCAAACATTTCGCACAGAAAAAGATAATAGTAATATTATCATCATTCTTGTCCAGCAAAACTTGAGCAAAACACAAGCCAAACACAAAATATAATTTCATATAGATATCATTACGGTTATAATGGCTAGGTGGCGCACGTAAACTCCTAAATATAAAAGAGACAGCCACTGTAGGTCTATTATTTCTTCGTATATGCATTTATCCACTCACTTTCATTCGCGTGTGTCTTTTTTTAATTTTTTTGTGTGTTTTCACTTTTTTTTCTGAGAAGGGGGAGTATCGCGGTTGTTGCAAGGGAGGCGCTACTGAACGCGCCCATTCCAGCCGACTTTCTCTCGCGTTCCGAAGAACACGAAAAAGAGCCCCGAATCCCTCGTTGAAGCGGCGCCAGTGGGGCAAGGTCGCAGGGTATCCGCGCGTCTGAGCGCACCGACTTCGCAGCATGGTGAGTGTGTTGTCGTTTTGAAACAGGCTGTTGGGTAAAGTCAGCGCGGCCTCTCGACTCGCGCACTCTTCTCTTGGCGCTTAGTCACCCTGGCTCATTTGTCATCTGTGCCCGACAGATCGTGTGTCTTCGTCCCTCCCTTCAACCACGGGGGAGTGAAACACCACGCCTCAAACTCCGAAGGCAGGCGACGCAGCAGCTCGCAAAAAAAAGAAAACCCACAAAAACCTCGCGGGAATTGAAGTTGCGCTGCTCGTCACCGTTCCAAATTCGCGTATTAATTGCGTTAAATTCGCGGGCGCCAGTTCCTGCGCGTGAATAGAGTACTCCCGAGTTTGCTCGGCACGCCTTGGAAGCACACGGGTAAGCGATGCAAAATTGGTTGAACAAAGTTTGGGTCACTTTAGTGAGCATCCAGATTGTGGCTTTTTCCCATTTCGAAAAAAGCAGCTCGGCATCGTAAACAACCGCAGACAAGAAACCCAAAACGGCAGGGGTACGGTGGACCGAAGAAGCGGTCGCGGGGCCCGCGCGGACGCGTCGTTGAGAACTCTGTGCGTCCATTGAATGGCATTCTTCTCTCTTTTTCAGCGATCTCCTTCCTGCTGACGAGCCAGAGACGCGTGCTTCGCGGCTGGCCGTACCGTCCCCGTCGGCTGCTTATCGGCTTATCGAGGTCCTCGTGAGCCCGAGCCAAGTCCTTATCGCGCAACGCGTACGGCTCGCCGATTGCTGCCGGGGGCCGTCATGCGAACCGCCGAGTCGAGTCCGCAACTGCCGCGGTGACAGCATCAGCGGAAGAGCAGCTTCCTTCCCTGGTAGGCAAACGACGCCTCACAGCAAACCCCGCGCTCCTCCAACGCCCCCCCTCCCCCCCACTCCCCCTCCCTCGATCCCCCCGAAGACCGAGAGTAGGCCCCCATAAAAAGAAAAAAGGGTCGGAATTGTTTCTTTTGTTTTACCGCTTTACAGCCGCAATAAGCGGCCCCCAGTACTGGCCTTGGCGGAGCGCCCTAGGCTCAGTCATGTTGGCGGTTGTCTTGAGACCTGCGGCGATGGGACACCTCTGGGCGAGCGTGTGGCATTCCGATACGTTCGATGTGGAGGGTGAGCGAAAGAGGGGTAACTGGGGGGGATCTGGGAGTGATCGACCGACCGGTGGCCCCGTACAATGGGCAGCCTTATCAAAAACAAACGGCGGCAGCCGCTTTTGTGTGGTGTCAGCAGCCTCCATTCAGCGCGGGCGGCGATAAGATATCCGGCTCGGGGAGCCGACTAACCGACCGTGCCGACCGATCTCGCAGCCTGCCGCGGACAACAAGTAGCGGTGCAGTCTGTTTGGGAAGTCTGAGGTGCCCTCTTCCCCAAAATGTAGCGGTGTGGTGGCCAGCGAGGGTTGCGGGACCGTTCCCGTCTGTTGACGTAGCGGGCGCTCTCTTAAGGGCGCTAGACGCGGTGCCAATGATCATGAACCGTGAGGCCAGCTTATTTTCGGCAAAGTTCCGCGACTGGAGCCATCTAGACACGTGCGCCGACGGTGTGTGTGTGTGGGGTCGGGGGCCTCGGAGACATGTTTGATGACGGGCGTTCCTCGGTATCGCAGGATTCAAGATGTCGGAACCCTTGCCGGTACCCCAACTGTTGAGGGTGCACCACAATGGCTCCTCCACGCCGCCTCTCACCACGGCGTCGGTCACCAATTCCGAGGTGCACGAGAAAAACAAGAAGTTCACGGTGAGCGAGTGCTGCAGACGACGGGCCTTGTGGACGGCCGGTCTTCACTATGCCTGCTCTTTTCTTGCGTTTGCAGCAGCTTTAAAATGGCTACATTTCGAGCTCTCAATAGTAGCATAAGACGCTTGGATGCATGTTGCATCTGAGCTTCCTATGCTTGTGTCATTATTGTCATTAAAATGGTGCTCATGAGTCAGCTTGTTTACATGGCCACCATTGTGACAGAGAGGGACAAGAACTAAGAACTGTGAAAACTGCTAGATTTCACGAGCTTTGTATAAAAACGTTGTCGTGTCAGTCGTCATCACAATCTGCTTATTCTCGGCCTTCTCCTTTACGTCATACTCCAATATTGAAAGGGAAGCTTGGGATGTAGTCACACCTCACAGATAGGCACATTCTATCCTAATATGAAAGCTGGAGCTATTCTAATAGCGTAGTCACTAAGCATTGATAATCGTGAAACACTTTTTTCAGTTACATAACACAGTAGAACTAACTTAAATCTAATTGGCAGTTCTCCGAATTTTATTAATTTTTTTATTCTGACTAGACTCTCGTAAAACAACCATGCTGTTGTGATGCATGACCTAACCTTTGTCATTCTTTCATTTACGGTGTTTTCGAGTAGTCTAGCAAGCTTGTTTATGTGGTTCGTGCAATGTCAGTGGAAACCGCAGTTGCACCTGTAATGGATAGATAACTCCGTCATCTTTGCTCGTTTTATTTCTTTTCTTTTTATGCTCTAATGCAAGGGTTCTTGCACTTTTCTCTCGAGGAAATCCTATCTCTCCCGACTGATAAGCCCCTACCGGTCTGATTATTGATGCAGTAAAGCATACCTTACGGACCTTGTAAACAGCGATGCATATACTAAAATGTGTTTGGCGTATAGTTTTGCTTGGATGGATGACTTGTATTCTCTAAAATGGGGCTAAATCTAGAAGAGCATTACTTAGGGGCAGGCATGACCATGCACATTTAGGAGCTTGAGGAACTCTTGGGTTCCCCTTAGGGTCCCTATGGTTCTCAAGGGTTCTGCTAGGGAACTCTTGGGAGCCCTTAGAAGAACCCAGTATGAGAACCTATGCTCCCAAAGATGCTGTAGTGGCAAATGTCCTATTGCTTTGACAGGTCTACAAGGTGGTGGTGACTGTGGATGGCCATTCCTGGTTCGTTCTGCGGCGGTACAACGACTTCAGCAAACTTCTCGACATTGTGAGAGCCCTTGGTATTCAGTTTCGAAAATGAAGAGATTGGGGCTGAATTCTTCAAAAATAGAATTTGGCCCCAAACTTGTTAACATTCTGATAGTTGCACTGCGAGGAGTTTTTTTTTATAAAGAACATTAAGTCAGCAAACGCGGCCATCAAATATCAACATAGGGATTTATTGAATTGGGGGTGTAATGGAGTTTTTGTAGTGGTAGTGTGGCACATTCACCCAAAGTTAGGTCGGCCCTTGTTATGGAACAAAGCCTGCTTTGTATAATTTCCTCATTAGTATGCAGACACCAAATCATTGCATGAAAAGGCCAGTTAGGGAAGAGTAGCCTTAGGGGCTTTGTCAATGAAAAAAGATTTACCTCGGTTCAGGTAAGTACAATACCTGTCCTACCGTAAAATACCGAGCAAGCGCCCGCACAAAATTTGAAAATAATCGCGAACAAAGAGAGGATGGGCACACATGATGTCATCAAGTTTACATATATATGTACTGTGTATATTTTCTGAGATTCTTAAAATTTCGGGGGTGGGTGCTTAGTGCGAGATGCGAGATGGGCAGATGCACGGTATTCTACGGTAATTATCTGTTCTGGTAAATTCTGCGTGAGAATGTAGGAAATTTATGCTTATGTGGAAATGAGGCCTTTATCCTAGTGTACATTGCAAAGAATTGCTATACGTATGCCATTCCCAATTTGTGTGCGCGCATAGAATATATAGGTTATGGCCAATCCACACGACGGACTGATCCACGGGCGGACGGACCTGTTCGCCACCCCGCAGTGACGCGAAACTCCAACATCGCACCGTTGTCCAAAAGAGAAATCGGCGTTTGCTACCCCGATAAAAAATCTTACGCCCCTGTTACATTCAGATTGGGACAGAACACGGTGATAGGCTTTGCGCAAAGCGCCACTAGCTTTACTAACCCAAAGCTTGAGAGTGACACAGGCATGGGTCCTGCTAGAGAAGGCTTCGGCGTAGAAGTGACGAAGTTCTAGGCTCCCGGAGGGGTGTTTGGAGATGCCTTGACACACTCCGCACTCGTGCACAACACTTCAGCCACAAGAAAGGTCTCGCTCGGTGAAAGCCTGATTGGACGTGCAAAAATGATCACGGCGTGCTAGACGAGTTTTGACGGGAGTTTGTTGACACGGATTTGGAGTAGTACCGGAACCTGCGTCGCGTCAGCTGGGCAAAGTTTCTGCAGTTTCTTTCATGCGTGGAAGCAAGAATCGTGCGACAAAATGAACCAGCGAATGCACGAAACACAACCATGCGCCATTTCTGTTTTAATCGTCAAAAAAAAAAAAGAAAACATTGTATCATTGCCAGACTAAACGCTTTTTAAGTCAATCTCCCGCCAAAAATCCGCGAGTGAAAAGGCGCTCGACTTTACCAGTCCGTGGACGAGGTGCGGACCGCGGGAATCCGCAGACCGTGGTACAAGGTCCGCGGACGATAATTGCGATTCTGTCTGTCGTGTGGATCGGCTATAACCGAGTCGCGAGAAAAGCAGCTCGAATAGAAATAGGAAACGGCCCGTCGTCGATGATAATGTCGACGTCAACGTCCGTACCATCTTTGGCGTCGAACATGGAATGTCGAACATGGCACCAATAACATGGAATGTCAAACAGTGTCAAACATGGAATGGCAAAAGGGAGAAGAGTTTGTACTTTTGGGCAAGGCTACCTGCTTTGAAACCTTGGTGCAAATCCTTCAGTGTCCCTTGTTTCACCTCCACCAATACGAGGTATACTGCAATTAGTGTTCTGCGTAGTCCAAGTATGTTTTGCCCGCTCCATTTTTAAAACGGGACAACTGGCACCGAGACTTATAATAGTGATCGGACTTTAGGCCACGGAAACAGACTGCTTGCGGTAGATTCCCTAATATGTGTTCATGTTCGTCATTGTTTGCTCAAACTGCTCAGTTATAGTTATTGTATCCAATTATCTTCAAATATTTTATCGTTCTGTGCAGTTTCTATTTATGTGGACCCATCCAATGCAAACATTTCTGTAGTCCACAAACTGATTGTTTTTAGTGATTCATTATATTAATAATATAAAAATAATAATTTTTTTATTTTCTGTGCCCACAAACAACTTTTCAGTCTCCACTGTGGTGCACTAAATTATGAATACTGCAAAAACTAAAATACTAAATACAAATACTACAAAAAGTCTCATTAAAATATCTACGTGAAAGACGTCCATTCACGAACAAGCAAGGTAAATTCCCGAAGACACATGAGAATATCCAGGTGATGTTCCTTATTGAGGGCCAATTGAATCCGTGACAAAGGGGATACAGGGGACAAGCAAGATGGATAAAACGTTAATACCTTCCATCTGGCCCTCGAGGGAACATGGAGTGCAATGGATCGTAGTAAATCCATTGACCTGATGTGACCATGAACAGCTTTATGAAGAAAAACAATCTCTGGACTGCCTCCTCACGGCAAGTTTATATAATGCAAAACGGTGAAGTAGCGTTTCATAATGATAAAAAGACCTCCTTCCAGTATAGCGGTCATAGACAAATCTCATCATCTGCTATTGTACATTTTCGATTTCCGTTGCCTGACCAAGAGATAATGATTTCCAGATTACTGAGCCAAATTCTAACCGGGATCTAACTAGTGACTTAAACAAATGCAACAAACAAGAGGGTTATGACAACTGCCGACATAACCGAGAAATAATGCCTAACACCCTTGACGCAGCGTTAACAGTTATAGGCATGTGTTCTTTGAAAATAGTGAACTGTCAATATGGACACCAAGATCCCTAACAAAAGGTACCCGGGGTATCAAGGCACCTTCGAGGTTGCAAGAAAAAAAATGAATTCACACTTTCTAGATAGTACAATATGTTTAGTTTTCTCAGGATTAAGTGAAAAGTGGTTTTTGAAGCACCAATTTGAAACATGTTCTATGTCAGCTTGAAGACGAGTGCAATCCAATACTGACCTCACATTTAAAAAATAGTTTGACATCATCGGCAAAGAGAAGAATGGTTGAGTCACTAACAGAGGAAACAGTATCATTTATAAACAAAAACGGTCCCAGGATTTAGAAACAAACTTGTTGGAGTAGCTTTCTTCAACACGAAAAGAGTTTCGATACCCTCTTAAATAACTAGGAAACCATGCGCACAGATGTGGGCTGAAACCATGCAGAGTGAGCTTTGCAGAAGTAAATCACGACTAACACGGTCGAACGCTTTCAACATGTCGGAATAAATTGCCTCCACCTGTCCGCTACTGGACACAATTGCTGCTGAGAAATTTCAAAATGAGCGTAAGTTAGATTCTACCGATCTCCCCTTTAGAAATCTGTGCTGAGCTTCAGTTATCATCGGGCTCAGGTAAAAGTAAACACGCATATGGACTACTTTTTCAAATACTTTTGCAAATTTACATAACAGTGACACCAGCCGGTAAATCTTAACCAGCATAGAATCACCAGATTTAAAAATAGGCACAAGTGCGGAGAATCTCTAAAGTTCGGGGAAATAACTCTGTGCAAGAGGCAAGTTGAAAATATGCATTAAAACTGGAGCAAAAATAGAGCAACAACCTTTTATAATAAAACTAGGTGTGCCATCAATGCCGGTTGATAGTTTGGGTTTCAGTTTTTTTATAGCTTCTGGAATGTTTTCAATGCAAACTGTAAATGTAGACAGATAATTGAAACACTCAACGTCAATGGAACTAAAAGAGCTGCTCGTGGGAAAAGAAGAATAGCAGGAACTGAAATACTTTACAAAACGAGTTGCAATATCGGCCTGAGAACACAGATAACCATTATCGTCGCGGAGGCAAATATTTGATTTATTGTCACGGAAATGGGTATGATATGTAGTATTGGATTGCACTTGCATTCTTTGTGACAGTGGTGCTCAAATGGGGGTTTGCAGACCCTTTGGGGTTCCTGAAGGCCTTGTTGGGGTCAAGAAACTCGACCATCAGTCAAGCTGAGCAATAAATCTTTTTTTTTATTATTGGTGCTGGCTGTTTCACAGAGCTAAATAAACTGAACCATGTGTTCCGAGTGAGTAAGGTTGATTATTCTCTGTTTCAGAGCTGCACACATTTAGCTTTCTTTATCTGCCCATTTGTCATTGTAATAGTTCAATACCCCCCTCTTGGTGGGCTTCCATCCTCTCCCAATCCACAAGGGGTCCCCAAACATCAGTGGTTGAGAACCACTGCTCTATGGCATTGTAGCTTTCAAGTCTTTGAGAACTTGCATTTTGATTGTCGTTTGGTTATCATTGATTGTCGATACTGATAGTCAAGCGCAACATTTTAAACTCAAAACCATTAACCGGGCGCACCAATATCATAGATCATATGTTTTCTCATTTTGCCTGTCCAATGGTATAATTTCTAATTTCCTTCATTTTGAAATTATTTACAAATTTAGTTTTTCCTAGTGTTGTGCAGTAAAGTGTACTTGAAGAAACCATTTGGTCTTGAAATGATGGGTTTCATGGTTTCTGTACACAGGAAAAAGTGGCGGCTTTTCATTAAAAGCACTTGAAACAAGGTGGTTTCCTAAAATTTGTGAGAATATTGCTTTCCAGCGTGAATTCATTGGCTGCAATGATTTGGCGCAAACGGCTTCTCTCTTCAGATCAAGAAGCAGTGCCCGGGCTCGCATCTCAAGCTCCCGGGCAAGAAGCTGTTTGGGAACAACTTCAGCCCTGATTTCATCCGCACCCGTCGTCAGGGGCTAGACGACTTCATCCAGAAGTTGGTCCTCGATGAGAAACTCATGCAGCAGTGAGTGTCTGAGTGATTCGATTGAACTGTCACTGAATTGAGCAACTTTTAGAGATGGGAATGAGTTTTAAAGGGGCGAACGAGTTCTAGGAATGTGAACGTGTTTCATATGTGAATGTGTAGGAAATGTGAATGTGTAGGAAATGTGAATGTGTTGGAATTGTGAACGTGTTGGGAAATGTGAACATGTTGTAGTGGTGAGAGATTTTGAAATCTAAGAGTTTCTGAATTGTGAATGACCTTTGGGGGTTATGAACAAGTTTCTAGAGATGGGAAAGAATTTTTAGAGATAGGAATGAGTTCCTAAAAATGGGAATTAGTTTCTAGAGATGAGAATGCATTTTGGAGACGGGAACAGGTTTAAGAATCATGACCAACTTTAGGGGCCGTGAGTGGGTTTTGAAAATGAGAACGAGTTTGAGATGTGAACGAGTTTAAGAGATGTGAACAGGTCTGAGGCATGAACGGGCTTAGGAGGCGTGAATGAGTTTAGGAAATGTGAACAAATTTAGGTGCGAACAAACTTCGGAAATTCAAACCAGTTTAGGAGACGTGAACGAGTTTAGGAGATGTGAACGAGTTTAGATGTGAACGAGTTTAGGAGATGTGAACGAGTTTAGGAGATGTGAACGAGTTTAGGAGATGTGAACGAGTTTAGGAGATGTGAAGGAGTTTGAGAGAACAGTTCTGAAACTCCAGTGAACGCTTCTGAAACTACAGGAGTACATATACTCGCACACATTGGATACCGAATGCACACATTCCCCTCTGGAAAATCCATAAAAAGTTGTCCCCAAGTATGAGTGCCCATCCTCGATTTGGTAAGGAGGACCCAGTATTTGGCAGAGTAGCATCCTATACTTCTTTCATTTTCCTTTATGTCATACCTGCAAGCTTTTTTGGCACATTGACACTTGAGACCCACGTTGTTGTAAAGAGGCGATCTCCAAACTCCAGTCTAAAAACATGCTTTTTGTGTAAGGCTTGTCAAACTATGAGGCGCTGGAGAAAACCACCCTTTTACGTTGAAATCCTTTTTTCAAACTTCTCGTTCGTGTTCTGCCCATTGAAAAGGATGGAGCAAAGGCCTCAGCACGCACCTTGTATCGCTGTGTTGCAGCGTTCTTCCGCAGCATAAAGGCCATCTGCTATCATCGCCGTCATCATGACAGCAAACGCCGATTTTCCGAATGCAGTCTGCTAGCCAAAGTTTTATAGTTTTGTAATGAGCAGCCGCAGAGTGTCGCCGCGAAGTGGCGTAAACGCAGGCAGGGGATGTGGGTTAACATGCCCCCCAGTGATACATGCGCCGTCCGAAAAGGTAATTTGACATTCGTTGCCATGGTGACGGCGATGAAAGCAGACGGCCTTTATGCTGCAGAAGAGCTCTGCAGCGCAGCGATACGAGGTGCGTGCTGAGGCACTTCCCGCATGCTTTTTGATGGGCGGAACATGAAAAAAAAAATGACAGGAGGACACTCAAGACTACTTACGTGTAGGGAGGCAAAAGCATTAGTCTTACGGGAGAAATGTTTTCAAGTAATGTTTCTACACGTAATAAAGTTTAGGCCGACGTCCTAGAGATCGACGCCAAGCACGGCATCAACAACGGCATCTAGGATGACGTCCTAGTGGACATCGCCAAGAACGATGTTTAGGACGATCATAAGGAGAACATCGAGACCGACAGCTAGAGGAGGATACTAAAGGAGGCTGTGGTGTATTTGCCTGGCCGGCCATGTTTGCCTTCGGAAGCCGTCGTAGACGTAGACGCTGTTGCCAATGTCGAGGCTGTAGATGTACACGCGTTTGCCTCACAGCCCATGGCACGAAGCACACAACAAGCACAGGTGAAGTCCGAGGCGCACCTTTTGCACACGGCGCTCCAGCAGTGACATCACGCTCCCCCACTTGAGCGTGAGGGGCACGTGCTTGATGATCTATCTTTTTGGCCATCTCTCGGGCACAACAACGCTGCTTTTATGTAAGGTCGTCCTAGAGGTCTAAGACGGCCTCAAGGACGACGTCAGGGACAGCATTGTTCTTGAGCATACGATTGAGCAGCGCATGCCGCTCAATCTTTATTTTATGGCCTTATACGCAGCTTTTTCGCTCAATAGGACAAATAAGGCTTTTGCCGTAAAAGCGTTTGAAATAAGGACTTAACGCAGAAGGCTGGTTTTCTCCAGCGCCTCACAATTTGACGAGCCTTAACAAAAAGCGCGTCTTTTTGGCCATCCCGCGCCCTTTTTTTTTTTCTTCGTAGCAGGGGTCTAAAGTATCAAACTGACGCTTTTTTCAATCTTGGGGCCCGGCTACATCGTGAGGCATGACATATTCGAGTAAATAAAAAGATTGAGTGGATTTACCCAAATGCAACTCAACGGCCTACCTTTATCCGGGACTTCCGGACGCTATTGTGAGCTGGAACGACCTTCTGGAGAATATCGTCACCATCAGCGACCGCACCTTGTTTCGGAGCGTTATAACTAGTTGCCTTACTAACACCCACTCCCCTCTGTAATGCCTCTGGCCTTGAGGTTATTTGAAATAAATAAATAAAGTAGTAGTTTGAGCTAGTTGGCAATTCGACACAGCAAAACGGAACATTGAGGAAGAAAATGGGCAGGTCCCTTTCAAAATAAATCGGTTGGGAGTTGGCGCTCTTTCATCCTACATGTTTTCTCTCTTCCTCCATGATCTGTGGGCTGTTTTACCATGACGAGAAGGTGTGTCGTAAAAACGTGGCAATTCTGCACGAGACGGTTTGATCGATAGGTGGAGATGTCGCTGCCAATTTGTTTTAGTTGGCATAGACGCTTCCACACCTTGGGAATGTGCCGTTTCATTATTCTAGAGTGATTGTGTTTGGGGATTCATTGTCCATTCCAGCCCCGAGGTCAGGGCCTTCCTTAACGTGGACAAGAATCTGGGCGACAAGGAGACGCCGGAAGAGGAAGAGGTTCCAGGCGCCATTGCCGAAGCGCCGGTGAGGAGCCCTCCTTTTTTGGCGTCCGACGGAACGGGCCGCGAAGTTGTGTAATGAGGCTCGGAACAATGCCCTCGCTTTGCATAGAAGCTGAAGCACGCATTGGTTGTTCATTTCATATCCTGTTTGCGTTAGAAAATTTAGACGATTCTGGTGGCTCGTAATATTATTGTATGCGTCGTCAAATCGAAAAATGGTTCATATTTACTTTTGAGGTTAAACGCCATGTAGAATCTTCTGGCTGAAAGTTGTTGCATGTTAATGTGCTTGTATTACATTGTCCGAGGCGCACTTTCTAACATTAATTTTAACTAATTTGAATTTTAGGCTTTTTCCTTAGGTGAAGCACCACTAGCTGTCAATCCTAGATATACCGTAATATCTCGAGAGATTCCCCGCCCGCGAAAGAAAACCCTCTCTTATTTTGGGACAATTTGCTATTTTTTTCAATAACACCAAACGATAGCCCACTTCTAGTAATTGCAGGGCCTTGGGCCATCGTGATCTCGTCAGCAATGGTGTTACTTAGCCACGACTGGAAATAAAGCAACATTAATGACTGGGAAGTGCTGTAGTCTTTGGTTCATCGCCTTTCCCTGCGATTACAAGTTTCGAAGGTCACAAAATCTTAAAACTAGCATTTTTCTTAACTTTTTTGATCGGTATTTCTAGTACCGCTAGAGTTTCTTTTTATCTAAGCTGACTTGACATTTCCGAAGGATTTGTGTATTAAACCATCGGAAGTTTTGTCGTAGATGAGTGTATTCGTACTGCCTGTAGTTTATACATAAATTCCATTGCCAGGACACAAAATACAGAAATTCAGCTGGAAAAAAAATTTAAAGGAGCATGCCCTTTCACAGCGGAGCTGTTAAGGGCTAGTTTCCCCAGGATCATGTCCGTCCACACAGAAATGTCGACATAACACTCTGGTTGCCGCTGTCACTCATAGATGGCGGTAGCTGTCCAGAGTGTTGTGTTTGTCAGTTGTTTGCTTGCTGCCGCCACTCAGAGATTGCGGCAACCTTTCGAGCCTTTCCACTCTGGCTTGCCGACTTGCGACCGGCCGTTACTTCATTCCCACCATAGTACAGCTTTGCTGGTCTTCCTTCTTCACCAGAGGGGAAAGGCTGAAAGTTTTTTGCTTTTTTTCTGCAACATTTGGCTATGGCATGCATTTCGGAGCATCAAGGATCAGTACTATACCTTCTAAAATTTCTCAGCTGTTCCGAGCAATGCATTCCACGATGTTCCTTTGAACGTGCCAGTCACGTCAGACATAACCTTCCTGGGGGAAACGCTTACGAAGACTGCTCCGCTTATTCGCAGGTGGATCTCGGATGCACAGAGAAGCCACAGTGAGTATCTGTCGACCAACTCTGGAGAAAGGAACGATTAAACTGCGGCACGGGGACCGTAGCCTCACGGGTTTCTTCTTCTGCTTTGCAGTGCCACGCCCGGAGACTTTGAGTTCCTCAAGGTGATCGGCAAGGGCAGCTTTGGAAGGGTCATGCTGGCCAGGCACAAAGTGGAGCGGAAACTCTACGCCGTCAAGGTGAGGTTCCTTCGTAGTCTTTGCCCATACCTGCCCCCTTTACTCCTTTCTCTCTCCCCCTCCCAATGGGGAAAATAGGGACGTCAAAAGTTGCAGAAACCTCTACTTGCGAAGCTTTGTGCGCGTTTTGGGCACTGGCCATTACGCTCTAAAAAGTGAGCCGTGCACGGCGACCGTCAAGCTCTGGAAGAATAGCGTTCACACTATTGATGTCTTTGTGTCACAGGGTCACAATTCGCTCACCGTCGTGGCTGTAGCGTAATGCAACGCAAAATCAAACTGCACTACGGTTATTGATGGGCAGTTTTAGGATAGTGAGACCCCAGGCTACCGCACGGTGCAGCATTGCAACCGAAAGCTTGCGCTGCGCCTTTGAAGCACACTTTGCAGCGCACGCCAGGAGCGTTGCTGTACTCACGGTAGCCTGCAATAACGCTACGCTAAAACCGCCTATTCACGTCATCAGCGTGTTTAGCAGGGGTGGAAGCGCTGCGCCAATTGCGCCACCCTGCGCCAATTCACTTTCCTGCGCCAGCCTGCTCCAAAACGCCAATTTCAACTTTGTTTTTTTTTTTTGTGTTTTCTCTAAATTTAGCGGAAAACGGTTGGCCACGGGCCACCATGTGGTGTGTACTTTTGCTTAGGTGTCACTGCGGGTGACTTGTACCAACTCGACTGGGGCTCCGAACCATGTCTAACCTCAGGGCGAGGCGCCGATTTTAGTTCATCGAGAGTGCGATGTCGTTTTTTACTACAAAGAGCTTGATATACGAACAGATCGGTTTGGTTTCGGGCATAGTTGGTTGGCGCGGTTGGAGCGCGCATGCAGTTGCCCGTGGTCCCGATTTGCCGTGATCGTGGGAGTTGGTGCCTCGGCACCGGTGGGCTACCTTGGCCATTAACATGAGCAGAAGTAAGTGGTCTTTACTAGCTTTACCTGTTATTTGGTAGCCTACCATATTTGGACGCTTAGCCGTGAAGAACCGCGAGCACAGGCACATCCGTTCTCGAGCTCAATTTGTCTTATCAAAACGAAACCAAAACTATCATTGTGTGCGCGAATGTGCACGCTGTCGTGTGTTGTCTCCCGCCGTCAAACCACTGGCGAAAACAATACCCGCGATCTTAAGCGAGTTGGTTAATTGGCAGTGCTACACACTTTTTTGTTTCTTTCCTTTAGCGTGGAGGAGTGGGGGTGACATCAGAAATGCCGTACAACACTCCCGCGCTGCCGATTCCTGTCAAGAACGTACCTTAACTTGCTATAGCCACCCTACTCGTATAAGTTTCGGGTATAGGTGTATCTGGTTGGGGGGGGGGGGGAAGGGGGGGGGGTTGGGTAGGGTAGGGTAGAGAGAAGTTGGTGGGCTTTTTGTCACATAAGAAGGCTGCCTGCCCCGCAGGGATCAGCGCCTGATCAGCTACATCTCATTTTCAGTCTCGTTCAAACTGTCTTCTCTTAAAGCACTTCTACTGAGTGCACAAGAACTCATAAGCAAGGGTGAGGCAGTTAAGGACATGGACAAGGTGGGGAGTGGACACCTCTTGCTAAGAGATGTGAACTCTAAACTGCCCAAAGTACTCGAGCGCATAAAAGAAATTGACTCTGCTCTTCAAACTGTGAAAAAAAAGGTGAACTTCAGTTGTTTCTAAATTACACAGATTCAGCTTAGTCACAACCCCTTTTTTTTGAACATGGAGCCTGTGGGCTCTTCTAGTCAGTGTTTATGCTGCATATGTATTAGTGGCTGTGATATCTTTAAGACAATATATTTTTCCATCCAAAGTAATGTAGATATAGCTTTGTATGTTAACTTGGGTGTAGGGATTACTGTATTTTATGAACAGGGATTAAGAACATTTGTATTTAATGAAAACAGGTCAGCAAGGACTGCTTTATTCTGAGACATGTTGTGATACCTTAATTTTTTTATGGAGACACGCAATGCACAGCATTTTATGGAGTACATAAGGTTGCGTTGCTCTTCTAGTCGATGCTTAAAGCTGCATATGTACGAGTGACTGTGGTAGTCTAAAGATATAAAATACACATTTTATTTTGCATCTGAATTTTTGTCAAATGTCAGTAGCCTTGTATTTTGTTACTAAACTTGATATAGGGCTTTTTAAGTAGTGATTGAACATGTGTATTCTTTATTAAACAAAAACTGTAGTCAGCGAAGGTAGTTTATCTGACACCTCGCAGTGGTTTAGTTTTCTGGATACATGTTTACAATTGGTCTATTAAGTAGACGGTTTTGTAGTGGCGTGACTCAAGCTAGGCTTTTATTGTCGGGGCCTCCCATATAAAGTCTATCATGACTCTGCCTGCTGCCGGAATGGTTCTCAAAGCCTTTCCTTTGCATAAATTGCCAATATTCCATATTTCAATGCAATAGAAATAGAAAGGTGTGTATGTATGTTGCTTGAAAATTATTCTGGGATGTGCATGCATATATTTTTGCTACATTTTCACATTTAGAAACAGGAAATCACTTTTAGACATTTGTTTGACCTCCGTGACCTGCTGCAAAACCTACTTCGACGGCTCCAAAACTTACTTTTGCTGCTCCCGAGCTGCTCTAAAGCGAGCGTTTTACTGCTCCAAAACTGCTCCAAAGTGGGACTTTTGCTGCTCCCAGCCCTGATACAAAAGGCTCTAGCCCGCTTCCACCCCTGGTTTAAGGATTTTATTTATTGCTACGTCGAAAATGAATATTTTAAATACCATACTTTTATGTACTGTGTATATGCAGCATTGCGATTCGCCTCACCAAAAGTGCCCGTTCTAAGCCCTTGTTTGGAACAGCTGGCTATCTCGGAGGCGCTTGAAATGCTTTGAGCATTTCTTTTTTGGCCTTTATTATTACCTGAGAGCAAATATGCATATTCTGTCTTTCGAAAGTGCTTGGAGCAATTGGTCAGGTTTCTTGTAACGGCCTTGAAACGCAAACCCATTGCCGATGTCTATTGCTCGACATGCCTTTGCGGGACCAGTTTTCTCCTACTTAGGGCAAAAAATACATTTTTCGTAGACCGGTCGTGAGAGCCCTACACAATACTAGCGGGAACGTTTGCCGTCACGTTGAGCACAGATCGAGCCGATGACCGCGAGGCCAGAAATCCGCAGCACATGCGACGTACGAAAAATCTCTAACGAAGTTAGGCATCCCGGTCCCTTCGTGCAACGCTGTTGCGAGGCGGAACGCAAAAGTTCCCATTTTAACGCGCTCACATTTTTTGTTAAAACTGCCTCACGTACAAACATGCGGACCAGAACCTTGCGGTAATAGCAGCAGCAAGGGACCAAAGCTGACAGTCTCTGCCACAACCTCCGCTCTGCCGTCGCCGTGCCCACCCTTCTGGTTTTTTGTTCATCTGCAAGAGGGCAGGAATTGCGAATACGAGCGATATGTAGGGAATGTCTCTCACATGATTTTGGGAAGAGCTGTAGCTTCATTGGTTCTTTGTACTGCAGGCACATGCAAGGCCTTGAAAAGTGTTTCAGTCTGACAGAGTAAGACCCTTTAGCGTGCAGTTCTCGTGCCAGTACGTTTCGCTGCTGTACCCACCGCAGAATGCATTGCTCAATAATTAAAGCTCCCTGGCTAACTCCAGGAACTGACAATGCCTCGTTGGCAGTGGCATGTTGCATTGGCGGCTTGCCGTTCAGAGTAGGCAACCGGGACTCTGTCACGCTGCTGCGGCAATAATAATATAGAAATGTGAAAGCCAGAGCACCAATTTTGTGCACTCCGAACATTGCCACAGAAAGTGCGCTTGGTTTGCCGTCTTCTCGCCTTCCCTCGTGAGCCTCTGGCGGCTCAAAAGGAATCGTCTGCTCCTGGTTCCGTGCAGGTGCTGCAGAAGAAGATGATCCTGAAGCGCAACGAGCGCAACCACATTATGTCCGAGCGCAACGTGCTGCTGAAGAACCTGCACCACCCGTTCCTGGTGGGCCTCCACTTCTCCTTCCAGACGTCGGACAAGCTCTACTTCGTCCTCGACTACGTCAACGGGGGCGAGGTGAGTCGCCTCGTGAGCCACGGAACGCGAGCGTCTCGCTTTGCAGCACGGCTGCCCCGAGACGCGAAGGAGCGGCCTTCTGCGCAGTGTTGCGTTTGGAGCATGGCGGCTGGAATGCGTCTCAGACTGGCGCGTATACCTCGGTTTACCTCAATAAAATATGGCGCCTCGATTTCCGCTTGACGACGTCTTAAGAGCGTCATGGATGTGGAAGATGCCAATTCCAATGGACGGTGCTCTTCAATTTTGCTGGTCGACGAAAACTTTGGCAACCAAGAGTCGGGATGCCGCTGCGACAACGGCAACACTGGCATCTTCTCGTGCTTTTTGTTTCCAAGAACTTTTGCACCCGACCGTCAGGACTGCGGCGTCCGAGGGCGTGACGCTCCGGCTTTTGCGACATCCTTGTGTCCCCTTTGGGACCGCTTTTGAGGCGTGGGCGGGACGGGACGCTAGACGCGCCAGCCAAAGGCGCGTCCCGGGCGCCACAGTTTGGCTCTAGGGTTTCGTTAGAGCGTGCCTCATAAAAGGGTGTAGCGCAAAAGTGCAGCGTGTAATTTCCCATCTAACTTTAGCGGGGAAATTGAATTGGTGTCTGATTGCGCATCAATTCACATTTTACTTACCGAGTTTAGTGAGGAAACGTGTGCGGCCACGTTTTGGGCTGAATTCCAAGGAAGGAGGAACACTGCTTAGAATTGATGAATGAAAATGCAACGAGCATAAAACAAACTCCACCTTGCATTCTATAAGATAAACTTTGTAAGCTACCCTAGTTCTGAAAAAAAAAAAAAAAAAAAAATTAATCTGAGCGTAGGAATGTGAGAACCTGCAAATGCAACTCAAACAGTAAGTTCCCAAATAGTTTCATTCATAAATCAATGTCTTGGTGCAATATATTGCTTGGCCTAGTCAATAGCGAGCCGGGCTCGCAACCGAAGGGTTGTGCATTCGAATCCCGCCCAAGATTCTTCAAACCTTTTCTTTAAGGGGGGACACTACCCAAAAAAGTGAATTTTTGAACCACTTGTCCGATTTAAATTATATTTACAGGGCTTGTTTCTGTTGATGTTGAGAACCGTTCTGCCAATTTTTGTTAACCTGGGTGAAGTACAAAAAAAATTGCAAACGTTCAAATACGAAAGTGGGCGTGTCTGCATAGGAAAACTATCGTTTTGAAATTACTTATAAATTTGTTGTTTTCATGTGTTACATTGCATTAGGACAGTTCAGAGCAGATAACTATGGAGCTATATTTCTATGTTATACCATCTTTCATGACAAAAAAGCCACATAAACACAAATACAGTTTTTTTAGATTTCCATCCTTTGTCCAAACTTTTGGTTCTCGAGCATGAAAAATGACAAAAATAAAAAATACAAACTCATAGTTATCTTCCACTTAAAATTTCACCCCAGAAAAACTCGTAAAAATGAATCCAAGTTTCGTAATAAAAAAAATATAGTTTTCCTAAACTGAAATTTATTCCAAAAAGTGGAATGGAGAAAAATGCGTTCAAAGTGCTCGAACCTCTACCTTTTCTTTAGCATCGGTGGACCGAAAATAATTTATAAAAAATTAACTATGCAGTATAAACTAATGAAACTTTCTGGGAATACTCTCTAGACGTTGGTGGATGTAAATATGACATTTTTCAAGATCAACTTTTTTTTGCAGAAATTGTTTTTTCTGGGTAGTGTCCCCCTTTAAGGCAAATGAATTACTTTATGAAGTGAAATCATTTGAGACATGGGGCAACTTTTAATTCGCATTACATGTCATGTTTTATTCACTTTCATTCCACACGTGACGTCTCATTTCATGCGACGTCACGTGTGGAATGTGGAATTCAATCTTGAGAAACATTAAAAGTCTGAACCAGAAGAGCCAGCGCTCCAATTGCCAAGAACTCCAAAGCAGCCAACTTGCAAAGCGATCATCTCGCACGTATCAATAAATAGCCCAGCAAGGCAAAATACGTTCCAATAATGTTTATAGCTCTCCAAAGACGCAGCTAGTAACAACATCTTCCGCTCTGCGCGTGATTTCACATTTAAGTTGGCACTTTGACATACGTAACCGCCGCCGTACCATCAAAAGGTTAATTTAAGCAGACTAATAGAGTTAGTGGCTGGGCTAGTCAGTAAATATTGGTAACAGTAGAAAACGGGGCAAAAAAAGACACAAGGACAATTAGACGAAAGAAGTGGTTAAGGGGTCTCAATGACAGCAACCCCTTTTGAGACCGGTCGTGTCATATCACTGCAACCACGGCAATTCGTCCAGGCCAGGCAGTGCAAGATGCTTCGAAGCCCGCGATTCTTGATCGGGCACTAGGTGCAGATGACTACCATCGTGATGACTCGTATTAGACATTTCTTTTTTGTTAAGGGTGTATTCAGAGGGCACCTGTGATCTCTCTTGCAGTTGTTCTTCCACCTGCAGAAGGAGAGGTACTTTGCAGAACCCAGGGCGCGCTTCTATGCGGCCGAGATCACCTGCGCACTCTCCTATCTGCATTCCCAAGGGACCATGTACAGGTAAGCGTCCACGTCAAGGCGCCTTGTCCTGCGGCTTCCTTTGCGCCGTGACTAGAGCCACGCCGTGACTAGGCGCCGTGACTAGAGCCACCAAATAGCCACGCATAGTGTAGCAGCACTCTGTTCCCAGACTCCGTTGCGGCAGCCGCCATTTTGGGGCCTGTAGTGCGGAATGGGCGCGATTGACGATCGCGACACTTCGAGAAACTCGACTTCCCAAGCTTGCGATACGATGTCGGAAAGCTCGGGCAATACAATTTTGTGAACTGTCGTCGTGAACTATTTTAACAACTCCGGAGGAGGAAAAACTTGCGGGGGAATGAGAGGAAAAACTTTTTCCTGCAATTTCAGGTGAAGCTTAATTGGCAACCATAATTTTAAGCACCAAGATGGCTCGGGTGTCGTTATTCTGGGGGGGATCGGTGGCCGAGTGGGCTTAAGCGCACACCCAGCTCAACGCGCGTGGAGCGAATACTCGCACTGCAGAACCCAGAGATCCTGGGTTCGAGCCCCACCCCTGCCCGTTTCGATCTGGATGAGCATCGTACCGGCGTGCAGTCGTGTATCACTACTGCGTGGTGCACGTTAAAGACCCCAGGTTAGCAGTCGTACTGCACTGGCAAAATTGCTCATCTACAGTGTAAACCAGTGTCGCCTCATCCTGGCAGACCGACCTTACGCTGTATAAATCACTAAACGTCCAATTTGACTTTTTGATTTGTGTCGTTACTCTAAAACCCTAGGCGTGACTTTTGCTTTTTGGCTATCGTCCCTGCCTAACAATTGTACGTGAAAAATCTGACGGCAAAACAAAACTTCCAGCCATCCTACCGAAAGTTTTTTTGTTCTCTATCTTGAGGATGATCAGGTTTTTACCGATCCTCCTTTTATGAGTGAGCCACAAATGTTTCACTGGAGGGTCATGTTTTTGGTTCGCTATATTGAGTGTTTGATACAGAAAACAACGCTCCTATACTATTACGGGATATCAACAAAAAAAATTTACAGGGTTTTTTTTACCGCAAAAATAAACTAGGCATCGCCGAACGCTCATTCTGCGCCCAAAGGTAGCGCTAGAGGTCACATTTAGATGCCAAAGTTTTAGCCCAATCCGATACCTTATTCAAAAGTTATAAGTGATTTTCTGAAAATTTCAATGGGAAAATGGAGCCCATTTTTGCCCATTTTCGGTTTCTGGTGCCATAGAGCCCCATGCATTCGAAAACTCCGTCGGCTACCATTTTCCCATTGAAATTTTCAGAAAATCACTTATAACTTTTGAATAAGTTATCGGATCGGGCTGAAACTTTGGCATCTTGTTGTGACCCCTAGCGCTACCTTTGAGAGGAGAATGAGGGTTCGGCGATGCCTAGTTTATTTTTGCAGTAAAAAAAAAAAATGTGTAAATATTTTTTTGTGACACCCTGTACTTGTGATTTTCGAGGGAATGTTTGGACTGTTCGATGTAAACAATAATTCGAAATACCCGGGTGTGATATAACTGGGCTGGACTGCATATCTAGTACTTCAGAGTGCTTTTATTTTAACATACCTACAGAGCTGATTAACCTTCGCAATTGGTGTTATGTTCGAGATAAATAGATAACATAAATAAATAGTATAGACCACTTACAACGTAACCGCTTATAGTGCAGGACCGGGTATAACGCGGTTTTTTTAAACCACCGGTTCGCCTCCCATAGAACTCCATGTAATTGACCTTTTTCAGAGAATTTTGTGCGCATGCCCGAACTTGAGGAGAGAGTAGGAAAGGGAAAGGCGCCATCTTTGCGGGCTCTCGTCGTACGCCGCCTGGCTTCGCTCGCATCGCTAGGCGCGTCTGTCCGGCACTGTCGCGATGCCTCACCGCTGCTCGGCTGTTGGATGTACAAACATAAAAAAAAAAAACCACGCCGAACGTGAGCTTCTTTAGATTCCCGAAAGCTATCGCGCACCTCAAGAAGAAAGAAAAATGGATTCAAGCGCTGCGACGCCAGAACTCTGACGGGACGACATGGCAGTCATATGCGAACTCGCGTGTTTGCAGTGTCCACATCATTGGAGGTTAGTTCAATCATATTTGTTTGAACTCAGGAGATACCCGTTATACTCCGTGCAGGCTAGCCATTCCCGACACCTGTCTCCGCACCGAGTTTGCTTGCACGGTATAGCAGGGCAGCAAAGAGGCGGGACGCCAAGCCGTTGTCACGAAAAACAAACCTTTACACTCTCGCATAGTGTAAGAGCAGGTCAGCTATGTGCTGGCATGTTCCGCTCAACCTGCAAAATTTATATTTACGCTTGAAACTCATTAAAATATTGAATAAAAAAATGTCCTACTACAGAATTTTATATCAACACGTCATCTAGTTCTATAAGTAGATCGATGACATAGCCTGGCCCTTTTTAGTTGCATGCTGAAGTACCACGAAAAAGACGAAGACGACAAATCTTTTTTTTTGTTTTTTTAGATAACTTATTCCGTCACGCATAAAATATGATCAAAGGACTGGCACATACGGATCTCAATACAAATGCGCCGAAAGGATAGCGACTATGGGGCTCATGCCTTAAAAATATTGACACATCTTGCAATCCTTAAGACACATTATTACATCGCCACGGGTTTTACCGGAGAAATAAACTAACCCTGGGCAACGCAGTCGCAAGATGCTTGAGCGATATCGGCGCTCTTGGAAAGCGATATCAGTTGCCTGTAATGTCCCGGTTTGATAGACGGTGCGGTGCACACGTGCTCCTTACAAGGTGAACGGTCTGGTAGGGATCAAAGTTGTTCATCATGACCTTCTTGGCGTACGCTTCTTCTTTGAAGGCCCATCCCTTCCGGAGTTGTCTGCAGTATTTCGCGAAGTACCGATCGACGCACGCTGTGTTGACGACCAGTACCGATGGAGCATCGGCACTACATCCCTCTTCAAAAGCGTACAGACGGATAAAGTCGGCAGTGTCGAAGACGGTTGCTTTACTCGATCCTCCGGGATCGTCATCAGCCATTTCTAGAGAACGACAGCCTTAAAACAGCGAGAAAAACTTTTCACAACGAACGTCCCAAGACGATCGCGTCGAGGAAGCGGACGGGTTGACGGGAGGACGGACTGAGCCCGCAAACGTTTTGAATTATCTCCGCGAGGGTGCGCCACGGTCGCTTCAACGAACTCTGAAAAAGGTCAATTACATACCGCTTAAAACGCAGGCGCGCGAAGGGAAATACCGGTTATAGTGCGGTTTCTGGCACAGCCCGCCGACCGCGCCGACGACCGGAGCAGCGAGCACGCTTGCCTGTGCGACACTAGATAACGGCGCTGACGGCGCGAGCCGCAAGCGTTGCGCAAGCGGCACTCGCGGGGCAAGGAGGGTGCTCGAAGAAGCGGGAGAAACGAAGAGAGAGGCTTCAGTTGCCCTAGCGACGGAGGGACGCACGCACGTGTCGTTCCCGTGCGTGCGTCCCTCCGCTGTGTTGGAAACCAACAACCGCAACGGCAGACCAATAGCAGGTCGAGGAGAAGTGTTCGCGCGCGTTGCATGCCCGTCGCGGGCCGGCTGCTTCTATCCGCGAACATGGCGTCGGTTGTGATCAACGTTGTGATCGTCGTCGTAGACGGCGTTCATCTCATCGTTCCGCGTAAAAGCGCTATCCTTGACTGTGCATTTTCGTTGTGTGTCGCAATGATAACCCAGCGCGTACTGGAAGGGAAGATCCACCGACTCGAGCGGCGATGTCGTGGCGGCGCTCTCAAGACGGCAGAAACGCCCGTGTCGTCGTGTTTGTTTACTTCGACTACAGTGGTGATTTCTAAGCATTTGTGTCCTCGAACATCGCCCGGATTTCTTATTTGGCGCATTTCATGCGTGTGCTCAAGTTCAAGGTATTACTGGCGCGTACCGTGTGAGGGATGCGAATTTTCACGCGTTTTCATCTCTGGAGAAAAGTGATTAGGGTTAGCAATCCTGAACGCTCGCAACATCCGTCCGCAACCCGCGACGCCGCTAAGAGGCTGCGCCGCTGCGCCAGGCAAAAGCCGCTCATTTCTTTCGTAATGTGCGACACACATGAGAGAGAAGTGTACTAGTCTGGTGAAATAAAGACTTTACTCAAACTAAGCTTCATTTTTCATCTAACATAAAATAAATTCTTTTACGAAGTTAAGTTGTCACATGGCATGTATTTTGGCCTGAAAAATTGATGTTTCGGTTATAACGCGGTACCGCTTATAGTGCGGATTTTCGCGACTCCCGCGACATACGTTATATGCGGTCTACACTATGTGCAGGCATAATAATCGTACCAGCCTTTGTAGTGTCTGATTGATTATTGTTGCCCCAATCTACTGTACGTCTCCGTATGTTGCAATTCTGCTGCCTAATATCTTAGTGATAGAAGCAATTGTTTTATGACTTTATCCAAAGGGCTAAGGGTTTCCTCTCAGCATCAGACGTCAGTTAGCTTCTTGACAGCGCGGCTCACAGTCATTTTGTGAGGTGCAAAGTGGCTGACATAATATCTGCTGGCAACTAAGGGCACAGCCTTCAAAATCTTAAAACACTATTTCCTCTTGATTCGGGCAACTTATAGGTAAAAGTTTGATATCTGACCATGGGCGCTGGTTGTTTTAGCAGCGTTCATTCAATTATGCGCAGTGATAAGCCCAAAAGAATGATCTCTAGTGATCCTTTACTTTCTCTGCTCTTTGTTAAGTAGAATTGGTGCTCAAAGGTACCAGGAAAAGCTGTTTCACCTATTGGAAAGTTTCGCCTGCCGAAAGGCGAGAAAAGTGCTTTGAATACTCTGACAGCGCAAAGTTAAACTATGTTTGGAGCTCCGTACAAAATAGATTTGACTCTATTTTCCTTCAGAGTTTGAGGTGCGGCAGCGGGCCAGGTGTCGTAATTCGTGCGCTCACTTTATCCGTTGGGTATTTGGCAGCTTGAAGCAGGCTGCAACATCCGTTACTTCCCATATTTAGAAAATTTTTTTCTCTTTGTTTTCTCATAGGGATCTGAAACCAGAAAACATTCTACTCGATGCACAGGTGAGCCACTTGAGCCGACATGCTAGTTGTTGGAGAGGCACTGGCACGTCCTCCTGGTGGATTTCAACGGTAGTTGTTGAGCCGGTTCACTTTCATTGCACAGTGAATTGTAAGCATTACAAGTTTTTTTTGCATAAATATGGTGCATTCACAGAGACCTACACTTTTTTATAGCCGAGAAAGATTCTTGACCTAAAGACCGACATAAAAACAAAATTTCAACGCAAGTTTTTTTTTTTTTTTTTACTGTGGTGGTTTAAATGTGACGAGGTAAAAGGAAATAAAAACTGGCATAAGCCAAAACCAAATTTGGCATTAAAAATGTCCCAATCCTAATATTCGCTGAGATGATACCAGAAAAGTGATAGTAGTGCAAATAAAATAGCCGATTCGGTATTTCTAAAAAATAATTTGCGCACCACTTGCAGTACTGTTGGGCCAATATCTGTGCTTCTTTTCTGGACCTGGTCTATTGGCAATTAGTTGCGTATTAATTTGACTTGCTCACTTTCCAACTGTTTGTTCCTAGGGTCACGTTGTCCTGACTGACTTTGGCCTCTGCAAGGAAGGCCTCAGGGAGCAGGACACAACAAGCACATTTTGTGGGACGCCGGAGGTCAGTTTCATCCTTTCACGTTTAACCAGTACCGTCTCAGCTCATTATAACAGACCTTGATTTTGACCAAGATTTTGGTCTGTTGTAAAAGGGGATTATGTGTTGTGCAGATATGAAGTTGAGTCAATGGTATGTAGAGGAAAACCAACCGAACTTCACAAGTCAATATGTTATATCTAAACGTTTGTTCTAACCAGGTCTGTTGTAATGAGCTTGGACTGTAGAACCTCGGGGTGCCTTCTGCGAGTAAGAAACTCCTCTTTGCGTCCTCTTCTCTCAACTTACAAAGACACCAAAAGGGAGCAAGAGAAAGAAGGAAAGAAGTAAAATGGAAGTGTGTAGATGTGCACTCCAGAATCCAAAAAGTTGTTTCGAAGCGTGTAAAGTTTTCTTTTAGGCTTGAGCAAATAGTGCTCGTTTAGCCTAAAGCAAGTGGAAGCCAATATAGTGATTGATTTTAAATACCTTGTTTCTAAGCGAATACTTTGAATAGTTTTGCGTAAAAAAAGGCTTATTGCAGCGATAATGCATTGATTCAATCGTCTAATTGCACCAGCCTTTTAAAGCTCTGGAGCTTCTCATGCAAAAACACTGGCTGTTTGACGTGTACTGTTTTCTTTTGTGTCCTCCAAGTATTTGCTGTTCTCATTTGCTGTTTCTTCATGCTGATCGTTTTGTATCGTCTCTTCCACCGCATTTGGGAGGAGAGTATGAGCTCATTTCTCCTCAGCTTTGTCAGTGTAGCGGGCATCTTTGCATCTGGAGGCTGGAGGGTAAGACGTCTTGAAGTTAGGAAACCTTGCCCTCCTGCTCCGTTAAGTGCTCGAGACAGTCCATGCTGTTCCATCAGACGGAGCTGAATGTTGAGCGAGAACGAGGCCGGCGCATTGCTACGGGGAAATTACACGCGAGAGCGTCGGATAGCTGTCCCCGGGCAATTTGGTTGTGGCGTGGCCAACCGTTTGCGAGACCCACACTGCTGCATTTACAAGCTTCCACTAGCTTGTGTTGACATTGTGCACAGCTTCGAAAAGATTCAAGTGCACAGTCCTCCGAATATCAAGCAGACCTCCTTCTGTCGTTGCATTCTTTTGTGTCGACCACTGGTCGCCAGTGCAAAGCGGCATAACTCGCGCACCGATGCAATTCTTTCTTACAATGCCTGAATCACCAATGAGCACGAATTCGGAACTCCAAGCGAAATGAAGCTAGCGGAACCATGGGAATTGAATGCAGCAAAGGAATCTGTGCCAGAGAAAGACATTGTAAAATGAATGAGCTGCTGTGAAAGACCAGACTTGTTTCGAGCCTGGTCTGAGGTCATTTCTGTCGGGGCAAGAAACGCGCACATAGACGCAAAAAGGTGAAGAAGATGGGGGAGCGGAGCAGAAGAAAGAGGGTGGTTCGATGCTCTCCATTGGTTGTATGGGGTGGTAGTTCTCCGACATACAAGGGTCGTTAAAGGTTGATTGGGACTTTTATTCATGAAAAATCGCCGAACAAGTGCAGCGTGACGAAACTTACGGAGAGCATTAATGTTAGCCTTCGCGAATATCCCGCGCCCTGAATGGCAAATTAAATGCATGCGCGATAGTTTTAACTATCGTGGTGGCGTCTAAAATGTCTGAAGCTTTAAAGCAGAGGTGCATAATAAAATTTCTGGTAAAGAAGAACATTTAACCAGCTGAAATTTTAAGAACTTTGAAAGCACAATATGGAGGACAAATGATGGCACAAACGAGATTTTATGAATGTTGTCAACAGTTTGCCAAAGAATGAACCTCATGGATACGTTCATCTGGCCCTGGTCTTGCAGTCTGGTTCTTTCGAGACCTAGAGAATTGAGAATCTGACAAAACAAGGGCAGCAGTGCCTGGACATGCCTGACAAGTACTTAGAAAAACTTCAGGGATGTCAAATCTTCATCTCTGTAAGAATAAAAGTCCCAGTCAACATTGCATGTCCTGTCAGCAACATCATTGGATGAGAAATGAAAAGGCATATGGGACTAGCATTCGTGGTCATAAGTGCTGGGAGAAGACATCGGTGTGGTTCAACTTTGCATTGACAATCGTTTAACTTCCATTTTTATTACGCGGCTAAGGGGTGCAGGAACCCCTTAGTAAGGCAGACGTCCCATTTTCCTGTTTGCTGTGAACTGTTCCTATACTCTGTTATATCTTATAATTAGGGTGTGTACTTTCCGGTGTTTATTTGTGAGAAAAATCGGCGGATGTTTTTCGGTGTTTATTTATTTTCAAAACAGCGGTGTATTTCGGAGGAACGTCTCACGACGAGGCTAAAATCGGTGATTATCGGTGAAAAAAAAGCGATTGATCACACACAAAGATTTCTAATTTTATTCACATATAGTTCATACACTTCTTCTCTAGGAAGCAACTATTTCTCACACTTGGTTATTATAGTAGATGCAAGCATACTTTCATGCTTGCATCTACACGCAAGGAACGTGCTGCCGTCATGGCAGCACGTTCCTTGTGGTTCGCAACCCGCATTTATGAAAACGCATATTCCTGTACGACACGGACGTTGGCAGTGTCTTCCAGGAACCACAGCAACCTCTAAATATATGGCTTGCACCGACATCACTTGGCCAGACACAATGAGGAAAAGGCACGTGAGAGCCTACCCTCCACTGCGTTAATTTGTCCACAAAAGGGGGCCATGGGAGACACTATGGGGGAAAGGCGTATGAGAGCTTAGCTTCCACTGCGTTCACTAGACGCTTTTGACCCCCAGAAAGGAGGGCGGACTGACGCCACCTGCAAGCCATGTATAAACACTGGAAGAATGCAGGATCCACAAGATAACACGCTTGACGAACATCTACGGGGAAAGGGTTTCGCTAGGTCGGAAACTAGCAACGACCGGTGTTTTTCGGTTTTAACCAGGGCGAAAATATCCAACCACCGGTGTTTTTCGGTTCTAACCGATTTTATATTTTCGTCACCGACGGATGTTTATCGGTGTTTTTCGGTTAAAACCGGAAAATGCACACCCTACTTATAATTAACCGCAGCAGATGCTACGAAGCATTGGAGCCAACCCAACGCCGTGCGAGCATCACGCAACCTTCAGGAAGGATGCAGCAGCACGCAGGGCCTGTAGTCGCACAATACGTTCACAGTGCTGGATTGGCTGGGATGGCTTATAGACCTTTTCATTTTAGTAGTTGCCTCAACGGCGTACAGAGGGCGCTGACGCACTCGGCGCCATTAGGTTGCTTCAATTTGATTGGTTTCGGTTTCAACGTGAACGCGGCTATGTTGCTGTTTTACGTTGTTTTTGATTAATTTTGTGATACGAATATTTTCCTTGTAGCACACAACCAATGAAACAGCGGTATTGAACCACTTTGAGGACTACGAGGTGTATTTTAGCCTAAATTTTGGGCTTTTGTTTTACCAACTGCTTTGGTGTATCTGATTATGGTCGGTTGCGAAACGCCTGACTGATGTACAGGAGAGATTAGCATCATCTACGGGCGTACCCGATGACACCAATTTCCAGAAAAAACAAACTAATGAAAAGACTAACACGTGAATGTAAAGAAGCATATCGACAGCTTGATTAGCAATGTGCTGAATCGGCCAGAACAGATGAACTCGCGAGTTTACTACACACTGTTTGGTTTTCGTGGGCACACAACCTTTAAGGAAATTCGCAGACTAAAAATGTATTGTGTAATGAGGCAGATAATTGATATAAACAAGTGGTATCATCTAGACCTGTTTTTTATTATTATTATTCAGTACTCGAGCATGTTTTGACAGGCCGAGTAGGAACGTTCTTAAATTATCAACCCTGCTAAAGTATTCACAGGCAGCATTTCGCGATATTGGCCCTAGAAAATAAATAATTTTTATATGAACATTTGCTTACTCAAGATATGATATAAGTAACAGGCCCGTCAAATTGAACCTAGCATTTGTCTTCCGTAAAATTTGCCTTATAAAATTAAAGGGCGCAGGAGAAGAAATACCTCGGAAAGTTTGGCTGAATCCTAGCGCTAGGCACCACTTCACGGACCTGCGGGAACAAACATTTATATGTTTGTACATATTCGCTTCGTAAATTTCGGTGTCGCCAACCACCAAAAGTAAATCTTTATTTGCCATCGACAATCCTGGACTCGAGTAATTGTTATGCAGACAACAATTTTTTTTCAGCGTTACATATTGCGGATTTAAGATACTGGCAAAAGTTAAAACAGCATACATAAAAAAAACGTCGTCATTATAGCGCATGCGCCGAACCCAAACCGCGTTTAAGATTTGCAAATATAAACGATGTTATTTCTTTGTGCACGCTATTCTAAAACTCGCTACTGTTAAGTTGTGTGTGGCAGTTTCTTACGCGGAAAGTCCCAACCTTTGCGTTAAAATAAACAAAGTGGATGGCACTGGTTATCCGAATATAATCAATAAATCACTTATATGACTGTCGAAATGGGAGCGAGTATGGTATACAATTTCTTAAACTTCATAAGTAGCCCTACCAATCGAATGTTTACGTAGCAAAAAAGATTGTGAACCTCATACACATGTAGGTGTGATGTTATGAACAAACAAATCGCCTGATGTTGACGTACCATTACTTCTAGCCTCAGATAAGATGCAAGCTAAACGTTCGTAGTCTATCTCCTCCGCGCGTTTCCCCCCATAATCAAAAGAAACTGTTTTCGATATATTATGAATACAAAGAACGATACTTTCAGGAAATACAGATAGTCTCCTTGCGCTGACTATTCTTGACGCCTTCCGATCCTAGATGCGCGATATAAATATACGCGCTTCTTACTGAGAATGTTCCGCCACTATTAGTAAACAAACCTCAGAAGTCGTCGAGATGACGTATCGGAAGTAAGGCGAGCAAGCGCGGTGAAACACGGCGAAAAACAAGAATGCAACGCATCCGCCAAGGCTCGGAGGGGAGAGCGGAGCAGCAAGTTGAAGCAACCTAATGGCTGCCGCGTCACGTGATTCCAAGATGGCAGCGCCCATGCGGAGGAGGATGAAAAGGTCTATAGCATCTGCTGCGGTTCATCCTTAAGGTGAAATAGGGTGTAGTCTACAAAGGATATACATGGTTTTGCGCAAAAAAGACGGACACAAGAGAGAGAAACAAACACGAGCGCCATGTATCCAAACGTTCAACAACTCGCCCAACAACAAACTATTTTACACTACAAAGGAGGGGTTGTACTTTGAGTGTTAAGCCTATTTTCCCGGACGCCCGCAGTACCTGGCCCCCGAAGTGTTGCGGAAAGAGGCGTACGACCGCACGGTCGACTGGTGGTGCTTGGGTGCCGTCCTCTACGAGATGCTCTACGGTCTGGTGAGTCACTCTCTCCGGCGACACTGCCAAAATGTTTGTGTGTGCACAGTGCAAATTACTGTAGCACAGCACAGGATTGAGAGTTCTCAAACTGGGTTCGTAGAAGTCTGGCGGTGAAGCCGTAGGGGTTCCTTGAGCTCCCAGATTCGCTTGACCGTTCCTACACCTAAGTAACGGGCTACCCCAGGTTCGTAATAACAATGGTTATAATAATAATTGTAAGCTTATTTTGCATTTTTTAACCTTGTACATTCTGATCTGCCTCACGGAAGCGCTTGCATGCTTGTGTGTGAGAACTATCTTGCAAGATAGTTCTTAGATAGTTCTTGCCTTCCGGTGATGCAATCCTTAGTATGTGCCCTTCTCCTTGCGAGGTCTGTGGGCCCCTGCGGTGCTTGACTGCACCAACGCCGAGATGACGAGGTGTTCCTCAGCTGCCATTGGGGAGAGAGAGGCATTCCACGAAATAGAAAAGTTGGAGAATCTCTTCACATAGTAATTACAGAAAGTTTAGAACTGATGGATATCACGATTTGAAGCTAGACTCTCACTCAAGAGAGACGATGCTTAAAAGCTTGTTCTTTGAGCAACTTGTTGACGAGAAGCCGAAACCATGCAGAATGTCAGCTGTCAGACCTGATATTGTGTATCTAGAACTCCTCAGAAATGGTAATTCTAGAGTGTTTGTCAGAATCCTTTGCAATAGTGCACCTAGTGAAGTTGAAAAGTGTTGCTACAAGATGACGATGTGGGACTGCTGAACCGTCGTTTTCACATTTCGGTAGTTCTTGTGCTGCACAAAGCGATCTCGGGCTGCATTAAATGGAACACGGTTGGCGTGTGGAGTCAGCGTAATAAGCTGTCTTTCGTAGTAATTATTGTTAGCGTTATGGTGGGTGTAGCAGACGGCTACGACCATCTTCATGGGCACCGTCGGCCCGCACACGGACTCTCGCTTCTTGGGGCTCATACGTTGGCTCACCGAGTGTCCCGACAACCGTACATGGTTTGAAGCAGCTCTCGCTTAAATAAATTGTTTGTCCCTCTGACGATGTTGCAGCAGGGGGCATCACCACCTCAAAATGTTATTTTTAGGAATGTGTAAATATTCGGAAGATAAAATATGTTTGCATTCAGTTTGTATTTGATCTGAGAAGTGCCTGTTTGGTGGTTTCTGAATATTTGAGGGAATTAACTTTTTTATTCAGCCTTACATTCTTCAAAATGTGAAGCCTGAGCTTTTATAGGCTGGTTTTAATCAGTCCTTGAGTAGAAAAGTGAAAGGGAAGTGTTTATTTTCTTCCTTTAATCCTTTCCATTTAATGGTGCTTTCTCGACGCTACTGAGTGACCATGTATGAAATAGGAGCATTCATTTTAGTCCAGCTTTCCTTCAATTTAAGGAGTAGCACTTTAGAAACGGTACGGCTCATTCGGGCAAAGTTTTGTCGCACGGGCGCTTTGCATAGCGTTCCGATCGCCCCGAAAAATTGTTCTTTGTGCCACATCGCTGTCACAGATTCGGGCAGTGGACTCGAGCTTCTTGCGTCTGCCGTGCAGTGTGTTTCACTGCTGATCGCCTGCATTACCCTCTGAACATTACCCTGTGCACTATGAGTATTCCCGGTTTGTTACGGCGGTGATCCATAAACCCTGCATTGCCCGAAAACGTGCGAGTTCGTACCTGGTGGCTCTAAGACTTGCCCAGAAACTCGACCGTCTGTACGCCGTACGAAAGGTTACCGGTTGGTGCCGATCTCTCCCGCAGCCGCCGTTCTACAGCCGAGACACGACCGAGATGTACGACAACATCCTGCACAAGCAGCTGAAACTGCGCACCAACATCTCCCTGGCTGCCCGCAACATCTTGGAAGGGGTGAGAATGCATTATATGCCGTGCTGTGGACTGCCATAGGATAAGCTGCTTTGCGGGGGAATGAGTATCCCGCCATTGGCGCCGGTGAGGAAAAGAGAGTGCAATGACCTCGAGGCTTCGCATAGAGTCAAGGGATATGCAGTGTTGGGCGACCGTGTAGCTCGATGTTGATGTCGCGTGATTGTGTAACTTGGATGTCACAATGTCACACGACCGCGTCACTTGGATGTCATTGCCTCGCACGACCCCGTAGCTTGATGTCGCACCCTCGTGTAACCACATAACTCGAACTCGGTGTCATGCGACCACATAACCGTGTCAAAGCCACGGCGGAAGAAGAGAGGTGTCTGAACGGTGCCACCTCGCCTCGGGACGAATGTGTCGAACGTTTGCCCACATTCGCGACGAAGGACACGAGGTGGCGCAACACAACTCGGGTAGTAGGAGGCCAATGAGAACTACTCGAGAAGCTTTCCTTGTTCATGCGCGCATTTACGAGGCCCGTACGTGCCGCGCGGTGTGCGTGGCTTTGAGTGCGGGCTTTTAAACCGCCAGCACTCTTCCGGAAGACTCACAAACCGGGAGCAAACGTTTTTATTTATCGTAAAAATCCCTCGCGAAAGCTTGCCCCCGATAGATCGCCCATTGAATCTTTTGGGCTGAATATCCATAACATAAAAATTTCGAAACATCACTTCCTTCGCGATTCCCAACGATCAATCACGCAATGTCTGGCGAAAATCCCACCAACCGTGCGATCTGCGGTGCTGGTAGGCGTGACGAGCGTGTTCGCGGCATCTTCCCTCAAATTCATCGCACCGCGACACTCAAACCTGCTCTGCCCGCGACCTGCGGTATCCGTTCCTGTGACATGCAGGTTCAAAACTCCTTCCTGCAATGTTTTTTCGTTTTTGTGAATTGCGCACGCGACATCGGTTCCTCCGATGTGCGAGTTTGTAGCGGTTTCCCGCACGCTTGTCGCACCGTGAAGTGCAAATCTCCCGCGTTTGTAATCTGCGGTATCTGTTTCCATGACAGGGAGTTCGTAGCGAATTCCCTCTTGTTTATCGCACCGTGGACCACGAAGTTGCTGTGTCCGCAATCTGTGGTGTCAGTTCCCATTTTGCGTGGTTTGTAGCAGGTGCCCCAATGTTTATCGCTGATCGTTAATCAAAGTTAACTGTCGCATCCTCAAGAGTCGCCCACCCAATTTTTTTCACCATTTATCGCTTCATTTTGAGCGGGCGTTCTTACAGGATTTTACGGTATTTGTCTACCCTCGTGGCCAAGAGAGCATTAAAGAGGGGACTGGGTAACTAAGCACATTGAAACAGACGAAACATGGGCAAAACGCATTCATGGGACACTTAGGGAATAAGAATTATTAATGGCAGCTTTAAACAAATTGAACGAGGGTATCAATACTAATAATACGTGTAGGTGCTGGCTTTGCTTGTGGCCTTGTTCAGACCCTGTAGTCACTGCACCACGTGACCACAAACCTTACATCAGTGTCGCACGACTACAGTAAACCCCTGTTTACTCGAACACGGATACCTCGAAAGATTGTTTAAGTCGGAACTTTCGTGCGTTGCGAAATAAATCGCCATAGTCGCCACGTATTCTGACATCGCTTATCTCGAAAAGTTTTCGGGACTGGCATCGGATATCTCAAAACATTGCCTGCAAAATTAAAAAAATAAAATATTCCCGAAAGGACACTGAGGCCAAAGAGGAAGCTTACCTCCATTGCGGACGAAGCGGCCATAACCTAAAAATAATGCAAACAATGAGAGAGAGGGTCGTCAGAGAAAAATAAAGAAAAGAAGGAAGCGCCGCAGACGCATTCCGGATGCGCAGAATGCGACGTGTCGAGCTAAGAGGACGGTTCAAGGAGGCTTGTTTTCTTGATTTTTGCTTTCTCCCCATCTCCCACAACTTATCTTTCTCTTTCTCTCTATCTTTTTCCCTAAGTTTGTGCTGGCTTGTGGTGTCCTATCGGCTCTCCCGATCCCGTAATCGCCACGCCATTGTCGCTTAGCCTTCGTTCAACCCCAACCACAGCCTCCTGTCTCGTTTCAACAGCGGTGTTAGACTTTCTAAATCCGTGTTCGGTACTTAGAAAATTTCGGTACTCTGCTTATCTCGAAATTTTTCCCGGTTTTTATGACTTCAAGTTAACGGGGGTTTACTGTACATACCTTGATGTCACGGTGTCGTACGACCGCGTAGCTTGAGGCCACAGTGTCGCATGACCATATACCTTCACGTCACACCGTCGTGTGACCATGAAACTCTAGGTCAGTGTCATGTGACCAGATAACTTGGCATTAGTGTCGCTTGACCGCGTAATTGTTGACAGTCACATGAGATCACAATCACGTGACCAGATAAGTAAATATCACACTGACATCTGGCAATGTCACGCTACGTCGGCGTAATGCGACACCACGACGAAATAATGTAACATGGCCACCGTCTGCCAACGTTGGCGGAAAAATATTGCACGTTGTGCCGTTGGGACTGTGCGACGGCTGAAAAAGGTGCTCTGCTTCGTTTTGGCAGTTGATTGGCAGTGCCACCGAGGACGAGGTCCGCACTGCGCCGCACAACGAGGCGTGACCCACTCCGACCTCTTCTGACGCACCCACAGCGTCTTGGCCACGCCCCTGCCTTCCCGCGACAGTGTTTCTCAATCTCGCAGCAATTTGGCATTCAAAAACGGATTCATATCCAGCGTTGCTTCATGTGTTCTTGCGTCGTTTGACCTGTGGGAGTTGCTTGGAGCTCAGGTTCAGTTGCATCCTCTGCAGCTGTAAGCGGCAACGCACCATCGTGTTCTGTTTCTTTGCACCGCAATATGTCTCTACAAAGCGCTCGTGCGTTAGACGATCCGAAAATTAGTTGTGAAGACAATCGGCGCCAGTCGCACGGTGGGGATCCGTGTCCTTAGCTTCCGGGTTTCGCATAAAAAGGTTTGTGCGTAAAAAAGATTGCGCACTGTGCTCGGGTAAGCTGACAAAGATTAGAAACTATGGTCAACAGTAACGCAAGATCTCTGCGAAATGCTTCTGTTAGGAGCCACACCGTGGCGCGACCATCTTGTTGCATGCTTCCAATGACAGCCCCTCGAGTCGGAATGATTCAGAGTTCATGCGTAAAATCGAGCAATTATATCTATTTCGGTAACAGCCGACTTTACTTCGGTAATGTCCTACAGTATGCCTTAGCGTAGTAAAAATAGATTGTACGATTCCCGCGGGTTCTTCCCACCTCTGGACAGGGTATAAAGTGCCCGATACTTTTTCACCGGCATCCACCTTACGTATGTGCCGCCCACAGCCGTGCCTTTGCTTTCCCTGCGCGATGCAGCTGTTGCAGAAGGACCGGACACTGCGCCTGGGCCACGCGGAAGACGGGGACGAAGTGAAGCGCCACGAGTTCTTCAACCCCATCGTCTGGCAGGACCTGGAGGCCAAGAAGATATCGCCACCCTACCGCCCCAACCTGGTGGGTCTTGCGGAGGGGCACGCGCGACGCGAATGGCGGTGCTTGCGTTCGGACAGAGGCCATCGGCAGGTTTTCTTCCGTTGGTCCTTTGTCATAAATGTTAATACAGCCTACATCTTGCACAGTTTGTGCAGGACATGCTGATTCACCGCTCTAACGCAATCGAACGCTGCGTAGAGACAGTGGCCTCGTTTGATTCACCTGCACCAGCCTGCACTGGAGCAGAAAAGTGTAGCGCGGCACAGAAAAGTGCAGGGCAATGTACTTCCGGTTGTGTTTTGAGATAGGCCGCACTCGTAAATTGAATACGGTGGTGTGCACGGAGTGCAGCTGGTGCAGGAGGTGCGGGTAAATTGAAGGAGCCCAAAGTCAGCTAGCCTCGAATCTACCCACTAATCATTCTAACTAGAGCTCGGTGCCCCGACGTCCCTCCTCTCTCTCGTCTCCTCCTCCATCTCTCCGTCTCTATCCGTATTGATTGCAATCCGTTCCTTACGACGGTTAAATTGGTTCATGCAAGTTACGACCTGGGCGCTTCCCACCCTTGTTACCCCCACACCTCCCTGCTTTGTGTAGACGGTTAGCTTATACCTTTTATCCCTTCGCCAGTCTACTGACGAAGTACTAGTGTGTGGAGCTCGCAATCACGGGGTTGTAGGTTCAACCAAAGAATTTTGTAGTGTTACCTTACATTCATAAAGTGTCGCACAATCTGAAAAGGATAGCATCCAAGTTCGACGTGGACGTTGTTGTCACTACCCCGTGCAGGTTGTCTAAATTGTGGGCTATGGTGAGCGGGCCGAAAGTTAAGAAATATGCTTGTAGCATGAAACACACCCAAAGTTTGTGCCTTGTGCCAACGAGGTGGTTTACGGGATTCCTTCGACTTGTGGTTGTGTTTACATAGGCCAGTTGAGACGTTGCTTAAATGATAGACTTTCAGAGCATGCGGCTTCTCTTGGCAACAATTACGGTTCTCACTTGCCGGGGCGTTTTGAGGCTTGTGGTTGTTCCCCCATGCGGGACAATGTGCAGGTGAAGGGACGCAACCAAGGAAGGTTCAAAAGAGAGTTGCTGGAGGTGGTAAAAATACATGCTTGAAACAAAGACGTTTGCATTAGCGATGCATTGTGCATTGGTGTATATGCAACCCAGAGTACAGCTTCATTAACACTATCTGGCTTCTAAATATTAACACAGCATGTTTTCCTTTTTTTCATTCGGGCTATGTGGTGGGGTGATGCAGCTGTTTTGCTGACTTTGAACAGGCGGTGGGCAGGCTATATCTACTGATTGGCGGTACGCCGGGTTTCTGCTGAGATGAGATTACGCGCATGCACGGCGATAGCAAAGTTGAAGCGTTCAGTAAACTTCAGTTGCCAGTTAGTGCTTGTCCTGTGTGCTTCTTCGTATTTTTGTCCCGTCTTTTTTGCGCCATTTTTAATATGAATCCCGTGCTGCTTGCATTCTTTCGGAAGCTTCCTATGGTCTCTAAAAGTTGCTTATTCATCTTCGTTTGAAGTGCAACAAAAAACGAAGATAAATAAGTACTACTTAAAGCCCAAAGGAAGCTCCTGAAAGAGCACAGGCACCATGTGATAGACATCTGGCCAGTCAGAAATTGGCGGCGGAGGCACCTAGGAGTGTTTCCTTCCGACGGTGGCGGCGTGGAGAAACGCATTGAAAGTGTTCGAATTTGAGGCGGCGGTGGCACAGCACGGCAGCGCACAGGTCAATCACGTGACCAGCAACGGCTCCCGTGAACGCCAACTACAAATTCGTTTTGTGCCGTAAATGTAGCTCTAAACATTTTTTTTTCTTCATTGTGAATTCATTTTGAATTATTTTTTTCATCTAGGCTGTTTAAAAAAGTGCCTTTTTTCCTTTGCATGTGTCCTTTAAGGGGAGACGCTGTTCTTTGAACATTCGTCAATTGAAAATATGCTCAGTTTATTCTCTTATGGTTTTCAAGAAAACCTCAACTTTATCACAAATGTTTCTGCTCAACTTTTTTACAATACCCCCATAAAAAGTATGGCACGAAGTATGTCAGCATGGTCTACAAACGGGAGAGAGTGCAACTAAGTCATTGTTATAATTTTAACAACATTCTTAAAAAACTGATCGAGTTGGAATTTTCTTTTTGATAGTTTGAAGTAACTCATAAAGTTTGCCAATTACAAAATTTAATAATTTTACCTTTCTCAGCAGTGGTCTCAATGCGCTCTTCGATTTATGGGCTACTAAACCCTGAAAGAAGCATTCAGGTCCAGGTTTAGATCCAAAGATATTGTGGGCAGAACTTTGTTTTCAAATCATGCTTACAAAGAACCAGGATATAGGACTTTGATGCAACCTAACTATAGAATGTGCACTTTCTGACGGTAGTACATACTGTGCATGTTGTTTGACTTCTAAATCGAGAGAAAAAAGTTTTTAAGAAATGACTTTTTTTGTTTCAAGATTAGGGTTTCCCCTTAAACTCATTGCAGTAACCACTTGCATTTCACAACCAATCAAAATAATTAAAAACATTCCACTGAAACTTCAACTTGTACCGCTCCACTCGTTCTCCACCTCTCTGTGGCACCGCTTCAAATGTTTGTCACTGTATATTTTGAATTTGCTCTTTTTCTTATGCAGAACGGGTGCATGGACCTCAAGAACATCGACCCAGAGTTTGTGAGGGAACCGGTTCCCGGTGAGTGTTCTCAGAACCTTGAGGCAGCCGCGAGTGCAACGAGTTCACCAAGGTGCAGCGCCACCCTCTGAAGCGACGGCTTTGTGCGGGACCTTTCTTGTTCCCGTTTGTTTGGCTGCACGGCGTCACAATCTCAAGTGACATCAGTTTTCCCGTCAAAATCAGCGGGAAAATTGACGGGGTATTTTGAGTCGTGACGTCGCGAGACTTCAAATTCCGTGCTAAATTCAGGGGAGAACTCGTTACAGTGTCGCCTGACATCGTGCCAGAGTGCCGTGTCACGTGATGTCAATTTGCCCACTAAATTTAGCCGGAAAATATGACAGCCTAATTTTTTTTAAAAATGATGCTCATTAAAAAAAAAACAAAAAAACGTAATGCATTATACGGTGAACCAGTGTTTGGAAATGCATCTTTGGCACAGGGAGACGCAAAGAAGAGTTTGACAATCAAAGGGCGACATAGAGAATGCGAGACGAGGAAGCGGCCAAGCACGTACAGTCATTGGTTCAGGGAAAACAAAAGTATGTGGGCGCATTTGGCAGGTAAACATATGCGTAAGGAGTAGACGAGCTTGCACACTGCATTGCACCTCCGTGAATTTTTGGTGTCAAAAAGTTTCTAAAAAAACTTTTTTTAAATGGTAGTTTTGACATATACGAGGGGCGTTCATAAAGTTTGTGTTATTGGCACAAGAAAGTGGAAAAAACGGAACGAAACAGGCATCAACATGAAAGCACGTCCCTCTAGATTCCGTACAGTATAAACATTGCGTTCTATAGTAGCGCGGAACGCCGCTAGGGAGTCAAAACAAAAAGGGCACCGCCCGTCAGTGCCAAGCACATGCAGTGATCAGTTTTTTTCCCATTTGAAGGGAAGCAATGCAAAAGATGTTCATTCTAATCTGGGAGCGTTGTTCAGGGACATCGCCCCAGTTTGACACTGTGGTTAAATGGAGCAGACGCTTCCAGTGTGGCAAAACAAGAGGAAAGCATTTCAAGGATGACAACCAAGTGATTGCTGAAGTGGAGTGATTCCTGAACACTCAAAACAAGGAGTTTATAATAATGGTCTCCAGCATCTGGTCCATCGCCGGCAAAAGTGCGCAACGTTTGGTAACGAACATTGAGAGAAAGTCTCAACTCCTACTCGAGTTTGATTGCTGAATCTCTATTCCTTCGTGACAATAATACAAACTTTATGAACGCCTTTCGTACAGCTATTTTGCCAAGTTTCGAATTTTGTAGGTCAATATTGGTGGCATAATATCAATTTATAACATCCTTGCAGGCTCAATTTGTGGTGAAGTTTATGCTATCTCAGCATCTAGAGTGGATGGAAAGATTACCTTTTTTATGTATGGGCAAATAGGGGATTTTGAGTTCAAAGCGAATAGTAGTTTTGGCCGAATATTTTTGTATAAAATATCGAGTAGTTTCTCCAAGCCTTCCACTACTATGCACCATGCTTAAATGACAATTCAGCTGAACTCTCGAAGGTTGCTCCCAACTTTCTAGTTGTCCACTTCTAAGCTCAATTTATTTTAATATAGTTAGTAACTATATTTATGAACTTTGTTATGTAAACAAGATTTTTTGCAGCTATCCTAATCGAAGGAATTTATAAATGTGCTTGGTGTGTGTGCAAATGTTCTTTCTTCAATTTCAAGTTTGACAAGAAAAAATTACAGGATGACACGTAAGCTTCGCCTTTAAAGGGATGCTGAACCGAAATCTGGATTCCCCAAAACACGCGGCAAAAGCGTGTTTTGAGATATCGCTGATACAGCGATATCTCAAACGGATGACCGTATTTTTAAAAAAAAAAGAGGCGCATTTGGCAGGAATGTTGACGTCATGTTTCTCCAAGAAGGAGAGGGAACGGCCTCGCGTCTTCTCCGCTTTGCGGCCTTCAGGGAGCAAAGAGAAGAGAGGAGGAAATTAGGTATCTTGATGGTCACGCGCCTCGTCGGCCTGATTCAATCTCGACTTTTTTTTCCAAAAATACGGCCGTCCATTTGAGATATCGCCTTACTAGTGGTGTTGTAGGGATTGCAGCGTCCCGCCTACATCTCCAGCATTGTTTTTTTTTAATCAAAATTTCGGTTCACCATCCTTTTAAGGGGGAACGCTGGTCTTGGGGCTTTTTTCCTTATTTTTTTGGCTAAGCCCAATGAAACAGCACAAGCTTGTTCAGACTTTTGAACTGATGTTAAATATCTGTTATTTTTAATTTAGTAGGTTACTTCTCAGGATAATTATAATTATTTCAAGGGAGGGATCGGTGTTCATCTTTGTTGGAAGTTGGGCAACAAAGGTGCAGTTTCTGACGCGGCCGTCGAATAATTGATTGAACAAGTGCTGCCCCCTTCAAGATGTGAACTCTTGTTGGCTTAGGACAGTCGGGGGGCACTAAATGCAGCAGGTGCTAATGGGCAACACTGTGCCCACATGACAAGCCTCTAGAGGTTCCTTGTGAAGTACAAAGCACCTACGAAACAAACTGATATAACCGAGTTGTTTACTGCAGCGTAAGTGGTATTGTCATGGTTGTCATTTGTTCTTGGACTAGAAACATTTTATTTATTTCCACTCCCTTCTTGAAGCTTGAATAACAGATTTTTGAAGGTGCTCCCAATGTACTAGCAAACTTACTGCCCGGTCCCGACAAAAGGAGTTCTACTACTGTATTAGAAAATTTACACAACCAAAATTTTTTTTTGCAATATGTAGGCAAATATGTGAAATAAGAATGGTCCAATCTCGAAAGTACTTCCAGCATTGTATTCTTACTTTCGTAGTATCTAGTTATGGATTAAACATAATTTTAATGCGAAAGCATTAACTGTCTCGTGGAGCGAGCCGACGTTATCAGTTTGAAGCGTGAAAATGGCTCCTAGTTTCCGCGATCGCCTTCGGTCCCATTGGCTGGCGCGCGTCGACGGGGCTCCCATTGGCCGCTGTGCTCGTCAGTTTCCACGACCGCTCACCCCATGGCGCTGCGTGTCCACCAGTACGCGCCATTAACACGGAGCGTCCAAGGTCACCCAGGGGAGGACGCGTCGCGACGAAAAGTATGCAGCAGACGACAAAGGGAGCGGACGAGCAGCTTGCATGCTTTCGCAACTCGTAAGAAGTGCTTAGGTGTACCTCGAGCTTTTTTGTGGAGTAGATGTTTCCCTTTTGTTTCTGAAAACAAAGGCAGGTGAGTTTTAATTATCCTGAGGACTGATCTACTGATTGAAAAACTGGCCAGATATTTGCAAACAAAAAAGTGGACAGGCCCGTGCCCTTTCCCAGACCAGTGTTGTGTCTAAGCCAGGCAATTTTTCCCCCGACAGCATCTGTGGGACGGTCGCAGACCATGAGCGCCAGCGTCCAGGACGCAGACACCGCATTCCAAGGCTTCTCCTACGCCCCGCCGATGGACTTCCACTGATTTGTCCCGCATTCTCTTTCTTAACGCGTTGCCGCAACCGTTTTGGATGCCGACCCCCTAACGTTTCATTGTTCTTTTGTAATTTTTACCGTAACTTTATACCGCGCGATCTTTTGTCGCGCGCTCCACGGGGTGCCCATTTTTAGTCGGCCGCCGGCTCGGCCTTCAGACCGACGCGGTCGTTGTTTTATCGAGGGCCGCCGCCACCTTTGAAGGGACCACATTGCGAGGACCGTCTTTGCTTTGAGGATGGCACCCTCGCTCTTTCCAAACTATGTGCCTCTGGCTGCAGTCTTGAGAAGCAGCTGTTTGTTTTTTTTCTCGCGCATACGTCTTCGAAACAGTGTGCCGAAAGCCTAGTTCAAAAGGTGCAATGGAGGAAGGTCCGGAAGAAGTCGGCGCTGCTAGTTCGTTGCCCAAGCTGGTCATTTTGAAGCGGCACTCCACAGTCGAATGTGTATACTGCCCGCCTGTGCCGGAGTACCATGGAACTACACGATGCCTTACGAGAGAACTCTGGAAAGGAAGCCATCATTATTATCACGATGCCGAGAGATTTTTTATTTCCCGTGGCACCGCCACCATTGTACAGACTCGCAAGCAGACGCTTGGAGGGAAGCAGCTTCTAGAAAGCAGTGTTTTGTTTTGGCAATAAAAAAAGAAAATGATTCACACATTTTAAGACTGTGTACTGGGACCTCTTTTTTTCGTTTCCGTCAAAATTGCGGGCCAAGCAGCTTGTGATGTCTGGCTGGGTGTTTATTTCTTTGTGCGTGGCTTGAGCTCCTCGAAGCAGGAGTGGAGGAAGATGTAGTTCTTCTTCTGTGCATTGTAGAACTCGTGTCCCTGAAAGCAGACGTGGTAAGTTGGAGGGCGCCATGGCAGCGTCCTTCGGTTCTAAGCAGCGTTGGGTAAAGTATGCCTAAAACATATTTGGAGGTAAAGCACAAAGTAAGTGGGAGGTTAAGTACTTAAAGTAAGTACCTACACTGGGTGCAATTTACTTCAAGCAATCTACTATAATACAATGCACTGTGTTAAAAAGCACTTGCTTGTACTTTCAATCTTTCGTGATGCCTTTTCATTCCCCTATACAGTAAAATCACGAGAGATACCCCACCTCTATTTTTGGCTTGATTTGCTATATTTTCTTTTTAAATACTGGAAGATAGCCCACTTCTAGTAATAGTGTGTTAGGATCAATGATGGTCTTGACCCAATTGCGGCTAGTTCGCTATGGCGGGATATAAGCGACCATTATTGACCTGGGAAGTACTGTCATCTTTACTTAGTTGCCCCTTGCCACCATAACAGGCTTGGAAGGGACACCAACCTAAAAAAAACAAATTTTTTTTTTTTTAAACTTTCAATTCTACATTGAAAGTTGGCCCACTCCATATTTCCAGCCAATTTACTCTTGATGTTAGGTGGGCTATTTCAAGATTTTACGGATGTATGCGTCGCCGTAGGGGTAACCAGGGATCATCAGTTAGGTGGTCACAGAGTAATTCTTTTACTCACGGAAAAACAATTTCACGCAATCAACTTGCAAGGCACTCATTTGTATCCGTCTTGCAGCCGCCGTTACTTCACTCGGAGAAATGACCAGGGGCCCTAATTTGGACACTTGGCGAAAAATCCGCCGGCCTTCATCGGCCGACGCCAAAGTCGAGTATGGCATACGGCCAATCACGGCCTCTGGACTTCTTGCCGACTTTTTCGCCAAGTGTCCAGGTTAGGGCCGCAGATGATGCCTCGAAAGACAAAAGCGCATTTTCGCACGACGATACACCATTTACACCGTTTAAGATGTACACCGTTTGAACAATATGACGCATTGCTCCAAACGGAGCAATGTGCCATCTGCCCACCTGTCTACTGAGAGTAGAATATTCCCCACTATTGCTTCAGAGTTGACAAAACATCATTTTGTGACACAAATTTAGCAAGACCAAATTTGGGGAATGTACTTCAAAGTTGGGAGTTGTACTACTTCCCTCATAAGGTACCAGAAAAAGTGCTTTAACTACAGTACAACTACATGCTCCGATAGTGTACTTCAAGTAAAGTACAAATTTTCTAAACTTACTTGAACTAGTACTTTAGTACAATGTACTTATAGTACTTCCCAACACTGATTCTAGTAATGCCAGACCAATTAATTGTAAGGTTTCCAACAGCACACTTGTTGTCACCCCATGTCAAAGACCAAACGACTTTAATGGGGGACACTGGCTAGAGATTTAACTTCTGAACTACTAAGTGATGAAATGAAATTGGCAGAGCAGAATTAACATCAAATGTAGGTCTATTGTGCAAACTTTCAGCTCTCTAGAACAATTTTACATACCTGCCATAAGAGGATGTGTCACTCTTCATCAAGAAATCTACGATACTTAAATGAAGCTATGAAGCACCATTTTGACTGCTTGAATATTAAGGGGGGTGTATGGAATTTTAGGTTATCTAGTGTTTATAACTCAAATGTAAATATTTAAGGAAGATTAAAACCAGAAAATGAGATGCACATCTGTCCTATGTCAATTTTTGTTTTCTCAATGAGGACTTCAACTTAAAACAAAAAGAAGTAGATAGCCCGATTCCCCAGTAAATTTCAGTTCTAAAACATCTCGATTGTGGTATTAAAATACTTTTACCTTCGAACGAAAGATTCCTTCGAATGAAATTTGCAGCAAAAAGTGGAACGGAGAAAAATATATTCAAACATTGAACTCCTATACTTTGTTACAGCCTCGCAATGAGTTGAAAATATTTTATATTAACATAACTATTTGGCATATGGTTATCAAGTTTAGTATAAGGGCGTATAATTATCACAATAAAAAACAGCGCGAAATACAAGGACAGAAAGGAGAGAAATACATACAGGACAAGGCGCTGACTATCGACTTACTAATTACTAGGGCAACTCTGCTCAATTCCGAAGATTTCGGGATAATGAGTGATTTTGAATTAAAAAGCCCTAGTAAAAGACACCACATTGTTTGCTTCGCGAAAAATGGGATATATATTTTTTAATTGAATTTTAAATACGAGCAAAAACCGAAAACTTTGCATTCGTCCGGCAACATTGGCCTCGGGCGGCAAAGAACATGGCTATCACGTGGTACGAGATGTCACGTGATCTTCGGCCCAACGACGAGCGTGTGCCAGGTGCAAATGTCGTTTGCACAGCACTCTTCGCGACGTTTTGCTGTCTACGACATTCGACGACGACTGCACAACTGCGGCATAAGTCTGCGCACGTGGTGTCCGTAGTGTGGACGAAACTCCGAGGCAATGATCACAAACGGTGAGACAACGACGGCGGTTGTGACGCGAAAGACGGCGGGACCCCGGCGGGCGGCCGAACGGCTCCCAAGAAGTGCGCTGCGCAGGCGCGTTATGCCTGCGCAACGCTGCTGACGTCATGCGCTACACTCTCCCGGAGAGGTAAAAACAAGCAAAAGGGGGCCATGATTGTGACGTTTAGCTCAATGTTGGCTCCGCCCATGCCGTAGCCTTGACTGCGCTGTTGGTAGCGCCTGAATTCGCCCGCTCGAGTCGGCTGATTTCGGTAACTTGGCGAGTTGCAAGTTTGCCGCACCGTTTAAGAAACATTTAGACAGAACTGCGTCATAATATTTGACGTGTGGTCTTCCTAGGCGATACTGAAGAGGACTGCATTGTTTTTCCAAAACCAAAAATGAAGCGGAGTTGCCCTTTAAATAAGAAAGTTGATAGTCAGCGCCTTGTCCTGTATGTATTTCTCTCCTCTGTGTCCTTGTGTTTTGAGCTGTTTTTCATCATGAACGTTTACCAACTGTCCATTCGTGGATAATTAGTTTCTAAAACCAAAAAACCTCACAGTTAAAAACTATTTTTTTTTTTTAATTGAAAGAAAATATTAGTTTATTTTGGAAGGATTTCTTTCATTCTGATGCAGTGACAACAAATTACATACAGATATTCCTCCAACTTCTAAGCATTCCTAAAATATTTTCAAATTTTTGTTTACTGGAGTCTACATCTCACAATGCTACTGCACATCTCAGCCTCAGTCTGTTTAGGGGAGCCCTTTTTTGGTCAAGCCTAGCAGATACCCGGGATCGCAGATCACCCCAGCGGTAGTATACAGTGAAATCTTGTAACGGCTCCCACCCAAAATGACGAGCTGAATGGAAAAAACTTTCACAGTCCTGCGTTACTCCACAGCACAGTCCCGGCGATTGCTGCGACACGTCTTAGCAAAGTCGTCACGTCGGAAGCGCCGTGGAGTGTGTGAACAGAAACATTCTGAACAAAATAGACCTCCCTTTTGTTCCAAATTCTTTTGTTTTATTTCGAACGCTTTCGTTTCTTTCCTGTTTCGAAGTGCGTCTCCCAATGCTATGACGGAATTTAGCTACCTGCTATTTCTTTTTTTCCCGAAGAGTGCATGCAGTGGGCATAGGGTGCTACAAAAACCCTATATTAAGACGAGGTCCATATCACATGAGCGAATGACACTTTAGCGAAAAGCGACATTTGAGCGAATTAACGTTGTAGCGAATAATGGGGCCGCGTGTTAAGCCACGCCGCGCGCTGCACTTACGCCGCTTCGCGGCGACAGTTTGTGGCGGCTCATTACAAAAGTGCGAACCCACTTGGCCCACCCGACTATTCGCTAAAGTCTCATTCGGTGAAACATAGGCGTTCGCTAAAACGTCATTCGATCAAGTGAGCGCCTCCTATTAAGACGGGTGGTTAATGCTGCGTGAAGTGGAAGTGTTACCTCCTACTGCAACGCAGCAGGAGGTAACACTTTCACTTAACGCACGGGGGACCCAAGCTCGATTCCTGCGGGCGATTTGTTTCAAGGATTTGGCGACGGCGGGTGCCCTATATCGCCAACTACAACAATATTGACTACAATATTGTTAGGAAAAGAGAAAGACGAAGAGGTCGGTCTGAAAACGTGCGCTCAGAAGGCTCGTGCTTTTTGACTGGGGGCTTTCACGAACCACCAATCCATCAACCTTCGTTGTGAAACTCATTCAACGTTAAATCATCATATACGACCCTTACAACATCAACAATGGAAGTCATTTCTAGTAGTGGAAAGGGCCCTTAACGCGATCGCTGTAAAACATGGGGTGTGCTATCTTTGGAATGCCACAGCAAAATTTTATCAAAAATCGGCGATAAACACCAGGGCAGCCAATACAATCCACCTGACACGGGAACCGATACCGCAGATCGCAGACACGGCAAATTCGCGTTCCACGATGCGATAAACATGCGGGAATTCGCTAAAAACTCTCACGTCGCGGGAAAAGATAACTCAGATTGCGGACGCAGCAGATATGCATTTCGCAGTGCAATAGACTCACTGGAACTCGTTACAAACTCGCGTGTCCCGGGAACAGATATCGCGAGCACGTATCCCAGACAAAAAAACGGAAACCCGCTACAAACTCGCTCGTCGCACGTACCAGTACCACAAATCGCGTGGTTGATGCGATTCCCGTCGGACATAGAGTGAAATCCGACGGGAATGATGTTTCGGAATTTTTACGTTGCGGATATTTAGCCAGGAAAAAGGGGGAGGGGCAGGGCATTCATACGAGATTTCACTGTAGCACAGGCTCCAGGGAGACTTTGCCATTAACAATGGGTAAATTGCTAGTTTGAGCATGACCAAGTCACACAATTTCGCATTGCCTGAAGCAGAAATGCCGTCCTCGGACAAAGCGTGTGGTACTGTGCCTTGAACGAGAACCACAGACACATTTAGTGAGCCCGGTGAGCTTTTTGTTCTGTTGCAAGAATGCTTTGAGGAATGGAGAGATCTCTCGAGAGATCTCTCGGCTATCTTGTCGGTTGGCTTCGGGTTCCTTGAAAGAAAAAGGTGCGACACCTAAAGTGCTGCACGGTGAATTCTTGTGCTTGGCCAGGCCCGATAGGTACACGACTTGAGCGTGGCAGGTGTTCTAAAAACACGAGCCTGGCACAAGTTCGGCCAATTTGCGGTCAGAGTGGGAACCTACAGGGCTTTGTTGAAACCAGACCTGGGTCCGTGCAGCGCTGAGTGCCCTAGCAAACATTGTTCCTATGTGGTCTTTTCGGGCGCTATTTGGGCGTAAAAAGATGGTATAAATAAACCAATGAAGTGAGTGCAACTAAACTTTGCAAAAGGTGTTTTAAGGTTGTGCATTTATCATACTAAAAGTTTGTGTGTAGGCAACAAAAAAAAATGAAGCAAAAAATATTCTTTTTTTGTGTACAAGGAAGAAAACGGCAAACACCGTCCTGCAGATCGAGCAGATCAAGCAGATCCAAGCGTGTGCGATAGTAACATCTGTGGGTAGCAGCATCAACAAGACGGTTTTTGCCGTTTTCCTCCCTGTTCATAGGAAAAACCGCTTTTTTCAGGCTTCAATCCTTGTTTGTTTCCTGACGCCTACAGACTCGTAAAATTTCAATATGACAAATGCACGACCTATAGACACCTTCGTAAAAAGCTTCCATGCACTCCATTCATTGGGTTATTTACGCTAATATTTCCACGCCCAAATGGCGCTGAGAGACACCCTGTGCGTAGTTCGTAACTAATTGACTGAGCTAAAGTACATTTGCCAGTGTGGTGCCCCCTTCTCACCAATGTGACACTGCAACGTTGCACCGCATCTTTGTGCACCTTGCGTTTCCTATGAGTCTTGTTAAGGAGAGAATGCACGGGAAAAGCAAGGCTCCCATAAAGTTTGGTGGCTGCTCTGTTCGGCTTTCTAGAGTCGCTACATAAGCCACGCTTGGACCGTGGGTTCTGAAGTGGTCTGTAAATCCCGTAACATTGAATTTCCCGCTAAATTTAGCGAGGAAACTGAATCAGTGCAAAGGTCATGTGACATCAATTTTTAAGCTAAATATAATGGGGAAACTGCACATTAAAGGGCAACTCCGCTCAATTCCGAAAAATTTAGGCTTACATGGGATTCCATTTCACAAAGCACTACTAAACAGCTCTACGCCTTCAGATTCGCGAAATGTGGAATATTATTTGTGTAATCCTAATTTAAACATCAGCCGATACCGAAACCGAAACTTCGGTTGCGTCAGGCAACATTGGTCTCGTGTTGTCAGAGTCATGGCCACGTCACGTTGAACCACGTGGTCTTGTGACGTTCCGGGGGGGGGAGGGGGGGGGGGGGGGGGGGCGAGGGACAGGACACGCGACACGGGCAGGTCGCTTTGCATGGCGTGGACAGTGATGGCCCGGGGGAGAGTGGAAAGAAGAGAAGACGAAAGAGGAGAGGGGGAGCGGAGAAACAGACCGATAAGCGCGCAGGGCAGCGCAAACTAGCGCATCCGCGTTACGGTGATCACGTGGATGCCGTTCAGCCTACACCGGGAGGAGAAACTCATGACGTCATCGTTCAATTTCGCTCTGAGAAGTAAAAACAAACAAAACGTGAGAATGACGTAGTCATGCCTCTGACGTAGTGGCTCAACGTTGGCCGCTCCAACTCCATCGCATTGACTGCGCTGACGATTGCGCCTCACGTCGCACGCTAGAGTTGGCAGATTTCGGCGACTTGGCTCACTTGAACGTTTGCTGGCCAGTTTATTAAATATATAGACGGAATTAGATCGTAATATTTGACATGGGGTCTTCCTATATGATACTGATGAGGGCTGCATAGTTTTCTAAATATCAAAAATGAAGCGGAGTTGCCCTTTAAGAGGCCAGAAGAGTCCATGAAATAGGGGGTAGCTAAACGTGCTACCACATTAAAGGGGTACGGAAACGAAAGTTGAAATATACAAATAACGTTCAGAAACGAGTTAAGCATGACGGATAATAACTGTAAATGAATAATTGCACGCTTGTATTTTGAACGACAGGCTATATTTTTCGTTCCAAACGCTGCAGTTGAGCAAGCGCTCGGAGAAGAGCAAATGGAGAGCGCGATGCGTCATGGGATATCCGGCGCAAAAAAACAAACAAAAAAAGATCCACAGCATTCGCAACATAGCAAGTCAAATTTGGGGGTTTTACGTGCCAAACCTACGACGGGCATCTGGCACTCCCCAGCGGAGGACTGAGGATTAATTTTGACCACCTGGGGATCTTTTGACGTGCAACCGAAAGCTCGGTTACACGGCGCCTTCTCCGCAATAAGCCTCCGTCATATTGCGGGCACCTCGGCCGGGATTCGAACCCGCCACATGGGGATCCGTAGGCCGACGCTCTCGCCTCGGAGCCACCGAGGCGGCTCGTAACACAGCAAGGCTGGCATGGTTATGAGCTTTGCTGCTGGTGGCGTTGTGGTGGCGTCTATGCGTTACAACCGAGCCGTTAAAGTACCTGTGGGGTAATGAGTGTCGTGCGCATCGTCTTCGTGCGGCCCATTCTCCCGCTAGAGGACTAGCTTGTCGCTCAAAATTCAAACCAAAAATTGCTTCCCCCAACTCGTTCAAGCCCAAGTTTACAGTGTGGTGGAAGCTATGTGCTTACCGGACCAATCACATGACCTCACTCTCTGCGCGTGGGTATGCGCGAGGGAGCGTGATTACGTGGCATAAGTGTGGCGAGCCCAACGAGCACGTAGCTTCCACAGCACTGTCAGCTCAGTGGTGAATGGGGTGAGGAAAGTAACTTTTGTCTGAGTTTCGAGCGACGGACTAATCTTCTAGGGGGAGAATGGCGGTGTCTGGGTACACAAACGAAGGTCCAAGCAAGAGGGGTGTCCCTCCTTTCCGTCTTCTTGAACTGTTTGGTACAATGAGCGATTTGTGAGTTGAGGAGGAAAGCTAAGAAGGAATACATGAAAAAAAAAAAACTTTCAGCCTTTCGACTCAGGTGAAGAAGGAAGACCAGCAGAGCTGTTCTACGGTAGGAATGAAGTAATGGCCGGCCGCAAGTCGGCAAGCCAGACTGGGACGGCTGGAAAGGTTGCCGCCATCTATGAGCGACGGCGGCAACCAGACAACTGGCAAGCCGGTTGTCTGGTTGCCGCTGTCGCTCATAGATGGCGGTAGCTGTTCGGAGTGTTGTGTCCACATTTATTTGCTGGCTGACACGATCCTGGGGAAACTAGCCCTTAACAGCTCCACTGTAAAAAGTTGAAAAATCGTTTCATGACCGCTTTAAACTGTTGAGCGTATTTCCAAAGAGCGGCACTGCTCCAATGCTTAGTGCAGGTATGTAACGGTTCTTGCTACATCAACACTATGTAGCAAGATCCCCAAAGTTGCTAGATTACCTCTCAACTAAGCTTCACAGGCATCCAGGTGCACGTTGAAAGATGGTTTAATTAGCTTCAAATTTAGTTTTCTTGTGCCTTTCAATAAAAGACTGGTGTTTTTGAGGTTATGCTGGTACATGCAACAGAGTAAAGCTTAAAAACGAGCGCTGGAATTTTCTTTCCGTACCCCTTTAATATGAATAAACTTGACAAGCACTCAAACAACTTCAACTCATTGCGGCAAATAGAGCACGCTTAACCTATTATCTGATTTTTTCCCCCACTCTTCCGTCGCTCTCGTCCTTTTTCACGAGACCACCGACGTGGGTGCTTACGATCTGCATCGCGTTTTACACCCGACCGGAAGGGACCCTAGACGGACCCACCTTGGACCAGTCGTAGCTGACGGAGTAGGCAAAGATCTCGCCCCGGGCGTTGAAGCAGCAGCGCGTCACGGGCTGCTCCATCTGCTCGGAGGTCTTGAGCTTGGTACGGGCATCCTTGTCCCAGAAGCTGAACTTGCCGTCAGAGCCCACCGTGGCCAGGGTGCCATGCACGGGGTGGAAGGCGATGTCGTTCACCTGCAGGACCGACCGTGGCCGGAGGTTCCGCGTTGGGACAACGAGAAACGCACCGAAACGTCCCACTTCAATGCTGGATGCATCTTCCCAACCAAGGAATACGTACACGGTAACTTGCCATATACTTTCCATTAGGAGAAGTACCTGATTCGCGAAAATACAAAGGAAAATTCGGGCCTTTCCCGCACTGTTGTGGTAAAGGCGGTGGTAATGCAGAATATAGTAAATTCATTCGATTTACTTCCTGCACCAGATGCCCTTCTTTCTGACTGAGCACGTTTTGAGAAAATCAAAATATTTACAATTTTCGGGTCTTATTTTTAGGAAACCTAGTCTGAACGAGAAAAAATAATTGGGCCGCCATACTACTGTGTTTTCTATTATATGTACTAAAAACATTGATACACCAGTAAAGTTGGTTTTAGGTCCACTTGGTACAAACCCCCCCCCCCCCCCCCCCTTTCCGATTTACGGGACTTTTTTCTTCCCTTCCTGTTACCCGTATTCCCCTTTCCTTCCCTTTATCTGTCCCTAAAACTAGCAAAGGAATTTCCCACTCAATCTAGCCGAAACATTATGCCGTCACGTGACACTGCAACGTCACAATGTAGGAATGCGGATTCCCCACTAAATTTAGCGGAGAAATTTTCCGGCTAAATTTAGCAGGTCACGACACAGATACAGATGCAGGATCCGTCGCAAAACCCCGCCAGTAATGTCCGTTGCCGTAAAATGGTTTGGGCAACGCACCGCAAAGATCTCCTGGAAGCCGTTGGTGGTTCCGTTGGCCCGGTGGCACTTGAAGGTGAAGTTGTCCTTGGGGTTCTGCGGGTTCACGTACTGGATGGCCACTCGGCCCTCCACGCTGCCCAGGCCAAAGCCACTGGGCTGAGACTTCTTGTCCAGGAAGATGGAGACACAGCGGTGCTGCACGGGTAGGGGACAGCGTCGGGCAATTAGTATAACAATGCGGAGGAAAAAGCCCCGTGCATTCCTGCCCCTTCGGAACAACGGGGCACAGACGCAGACATCGGTGGTCCTAACGGGCCGTCCCGACGTGACCGTATCGCTGACGACACCGTAAACGGATACTGAAATGAAAATATAAATATACCTCTCACGTTCAGAAATAATAGACAAGATAAACAATCTTTCCCGAAAAACACCACACGTTTGTATTTTGAACGGATGGCTATATTTTTTTGTTCTAAAAGGCCAGGCAAGTGCTCCAAGAGCAGCTGTCGGACAGTGCGATGTGCCTCGGGAGATACGGCACCTCCGGCATGTGCGTGACGTCACGTTTCCCTCCGAGGGCAAAGCTACGGCAAGGCTGGCGTGGTTACGAGCTTTGCCACTTGGTGGTGTCGACGCGTTACAACCTAGCCGTTCGAGATGCATGAGGGCTGCTTGGACGACACAGTACACGAGTGAAGGTGAAGTGAGTCATTTTCGGCCCCAAAACTGCACAGACCTTTTCCTCCTGTCGGTCTCAACCCCCCTCCCCATCATCCTTTCTATACCCCAGCCGCGAGAGTTGAATAGGTGCAGAAAAAATGGGAAACCCGGTTTGTAAGTTTGACGGCCAACGCATGCTCGGAGCTCGGCGCCATACTTCTGCGGAGCGGCGCTGCTTTTTGGGAAAGGTCGACAAAACAACTTTCCAAGTAGCTTTGGGAACATGCGCCAGGTGCAGTTTGGTAATTGTTCTAAAAAATAAAGCATGGTGTCTTTGTGGATTGTCACAATATAGTTGACATTTAGACACTACAATAGGCACTAGAATTTCATTTCAGTACCCCTTTAATATACACAAAGGAACACAAAAACATCACCTGCGAAGTACAGTAAACTCTCACTTGAGCGAACGAATTTTATGAAAAAATGTTTCAGTTAAACTAATTAACGAATTTCGGAATAGCAAATATTACACTTCAACGAACTTGATCGGTGGACCCAGGATTATTTTTGCGATCAATTCAACAAAGTTTTGTGCTCCGCAGTGCTGGCGTAGCCGATGCCCACCGCCCCGCCACCGCCGCCACCTCTGCAGTGGCGGCGTATCATCGCCGGCGTTAACAGCGCTGCCGAGGCAAAGCAGCGGTGCGGTAGACGGAAACGAACCACATGGTGTGTCTGTTTATTTCTTTGTCATCAGTTCCATTCGGCCATCTTAGTTTTGGGTAACAACGACAGGATGGCAGTTTGTGCGCCCACTTTCGTAATGAGTACGACGGAACGGAAGCAGTGATCTCTATCAGACCAGCTCAAAATCCTACAGCGTCTTTTTTTGTGGGCTCAATATTTAGCGAATTTTGTGATGTGTCTGTTTCGGGTTTTGGTCAAACCAAGGTTAATAAAGCAAAGTTTATTTAACCACCCAACTTTGTATCTAGGAGATTAGACCACTCAGAAAAAATTAGGGAATCGACACCCCGAACCAACGTCTAAAATATCCATTTTTTCCAAACACTATTAAAGAATGGAATGACCTACCAAATGACACCGTTTCTATCTTGTCAAACTCACTTTTCTTTGACAGACTGTCACGTGACAGCTGGGCAGACTGACATGACTAGGAAAATGTTCTGATCCTTGCGATGCGAATTCGAGCGATTAGTGGGTGTGATACTGCTCTATGTTTAGTTGTTCCTGCTTTATATATTTTATTACTCTTTGAATGTTGTGGGAACCACGTGTTTCCCGTCTCCCTATCTAGGCCTAGCACAAGCAGGCCGTGGGAGCGTTATGGCGACGTCATCCCGGATACGGGGGTAAGGCCGCATTCCTCGAAGAGGGCGTGTCTTCCTTCGCCCTTTTGGGTGAAAGTGCCTCCGGCGCACCCTTCGGAAATGATTGTGGACGCGGCCCATCTGCGGGATAAGCCGCACTACCTACCCCGGGCGCGTCCACTTTCCACTGGCTAGATAAGCGGCCCGCGGACGGCGGCCCTGGCTCTCGTCGGGGAAGGCTCTGGGCCACGGAGCCTCATTCTTTTTGGAGATTTCCCCTTTCCACGAATCTGCCTAATACGGCAGCGTGGGCCCCCTCCAGGTGAATCTGTCTAATGCGACAGCGCCGACCTTTTTCCGTTCTTTTCTTTTATTAGATTTGCCGACAGGCACAACGTGGGGGCACAACCGACGGGCACAGCGTGGTGGCGCAGGAGCCAAATAAACCCGCTTCTTCAGTATCTTTGTGTTTTGGAGTGAATCCTCTCCTCGGAGTCCACGGCAGCCTCCGGACGAACCCGGCCGTAGCAGTCCTCAACATCGAGCTACGGAGTGGGATCGACCTCGTGGTGCAGCAAGGCAAGTCGAATCCCACAACGTAATTAAGAAAACTACATGTGTGTTTTCTTACTCGTGTCATGCGGCAAGCGAGAGTTATTGTTTTTGCTGTTAGCGCATATTTTCCTCAGCTGATGTTATTACCTGGCAGGTATCTGGAATGCGTGCAACCAATGTGGCTTTTATCATTATGCTCTCCCAGTCTGAGCTGTTCAGTGTCAAAACCCAAGCCGTCTGATAGGATGCAAGGCGTACCTGGTACTTGAGCGGGGACTCAATCTTCTTGTACTCCTGCGGCTGGCCCTCCAGCTGGTAGACGATGATGCCTCTGCCCGCAGTGCTCACCACGGCCATCGGGTACACCTGGCGCGTGTTGGGCACGCTGTTAGCTGCGCTCTCGTTTGGGCAGACAACGAGAAGAGCACCAAAGTAGGAATGGTTTGCGAGTGGTCAACTGCCTTCTTAAAACCATGTATGAAAGATAGCAGCTTTCAAATGCTATGTGCAAACTCTGGTAGTTTTGTGCAATACCGTAGAATACTGGGGAAGCGTCCACACCACTTTCACTGAAGACTGGATTAATCTAGACACGGGCGCTTATCCGGTCAAATCGGTAAAGCCCAAAATGGCGTTCAATGAAGAGCTTTGAAGCAGGGGGAACGGAATCACAGAAGACCGATTTATTTTCACATGACATCCCCGTCGTTGCCACTGGCGGTCTCGTGCCCGCCGCAACGAGGCAAGTATTTTTGGCCAATGTTGGCGATTTAGAGGAGGCATATATTTTGGAAAATTCCCAAATTTGGGAAATGTTAATTGTGGGCGCTTGTATGAAGTGAGCGCTTCCACGGTATTTTACGGTATATTTAAAGACTAGTCTGGGTTTAGTCTGCATGCAAATGTACGAGCTTTACAATCGTGAGCTATTACCCAACTAAACCTCATGCGCATATTTAAACTCGGGGGTCTGCATACACGAGCCGAGCGGCAAACGCAGTGAAGCTTGTCGAGAGTATGGGTCATGTCAGAACTATGTCACAACCATCGAAACAAAAATTGCAACATGAAGCTTGATTTGTTCCTCGTTTCACGCTTAGTTATTCTCTGCACTCCACAGTTACTGTGGTATGTATTGTGGGCTACTCATTTAATGGGAAAACTGCTGCCTGGGGCCTTGATCACATTTAGGACGTTTTAGAAGCAACTGATTCTATTTTAAGCTTGCGGCATCCGTCTTAGTGCCACCGACAGACACGGTTTGACCAGTTCTAGAACACGGCATGTACTGTTTTTGTTTGTTTTTGGGCCGATATGGCACAGAAGTGTTCAGTTATTCTAATGCTTTTTTCTAATGCTTCTTTAAAAAAATTAAATTAGGTTGTGGCATATGCCCCCTGCTCATTTTTGAAGCTGCTCACTAAATAATGTGCAAGTAGAATCAGACAGGTATTGTTAGTAGTAATATAATGAGCATAAGATTGCACCTATATCATGCTACATTAGAAACATAGGCTGCATTCGGTGCATGTTATTAACAAATTTGTAACCTAGCAACAATCGAACGATTAATATTCCCACCTGGTTGCTCTAGGGATATGTTCAAACCACAAATGGCTGGCAAGTCTGCCAGTAGACAAAGCAAGTAATCTGTTTCTGTGCAACGACACAGCAGAAACTCACCACGTCTGCACAGTAGCAGCGCTCAGGAAGGGTGATGGTCAACATGGGTGTTGGCGTCCTTGTGTCCCAAAACTTCATGATGCGCAAAAACAACAAAAGGAGGCAAGAGTCAACTCCCCCAATATACACAAGATACAAGGAACCAAAAAAATCGAACTAGTTTGTCTGAAAGTATAATACTTACGGCCAAACGCCCATTCCACAACATAATGTGGCAAAAAGCGGAATAACATAGCACACGCGCATTTTTGGCAGTTTAGTTTACAGTAATTTTCTGAATCCACCGTCGCCTAGATTAGCTGCACCAAACCACATACCCTGCCACAAGTATATCATACCCTGCTTGCGAGACAAAAAAAGAAGTGTGTATGTTTAGTTTCTCCTAAGGAACAGATGCAATTGTCGTAAATATTTATACTGCCAACCAAATTACCTCAACTCTGGCAACATGCTTTCATGGGCGGGCTAAGCTAGGTGGCCCAAGCTACTGCCCGATATAAAGGGTACAGCCGTTAGCCATCCATCCATCCATATCTTTCAGTTTAGCCTTTTCAAGACGATAAATATAGACAAAACACGACCATGAACTGTCTCTCGAGGTATTAAGGCCCGTTCACACTCTTGCGACCGAGTACGACTGAGAGAGACGAGATCTCTTACAACTTCTTAAATGTTTCTAGAATGAGGGAACACACTGACATTGTGGCGCCATCTATGCGGTGACCCTAGAACTGCATTTCACAAAAGCGAAGGTTTTGCGGGATTTCCGAGGTCAAATGTGCGTAATACCCATAGAAAGGCTCGTTTATAACATTGACAAAAGTTTTTCGAGCCAAAAAAATAAGGATAATGCGCGAGAAATAAAAAAAAAAATATGCTGGACCGCCGAGTTTACACTGGTTCCCAATAGATGGCGCCAGTGTATTCTCTGGTTTAAGAAGTTTTATTAAGGAACCCAGGTTCAAGAGGTCGCAAGAGTGTGAACGGGCCTTTACGGCAAGTAGATGCCTCGGTTATGCACAGACCCCGACTGAAATGTCGCAAAGCTCTTTATTTTTACTGGCAGGTTTCGAGATAAATGGAGGGCTTTTGATGGCTGTACTCCTTTTAATAAATGGTGTGCCACCCAGCCTAATTGCAGGTCCTGGCAGCAGTGTGGACCAACCTTGAGTGTCTTGTCCCAGCTGCCCGTCATGATGCAGGTGTAGTTGGGGGCCTTGAGCCAGTGGACGGTCTTTACCGGGGCGTCGTGCTGTGTGGCAGAGCATTGCGCTCACCTTCAGTATCCGGAAGCCAAGTGACACCTCTCAATGGTGCTGCCTCACCTGAGCAATCGGGAGGGCCTGGTTGCTGTTCAGGTCCCACATCTTCACGGTCTTGTCGCAGGACGCTGAGAAGACCTTGGTGCCATCCTGCAAAGACAAGCCCCTTTAGTGGTCCAGATTATTTTTTTCAAAAGATGCACCTTAATGGTCAGGTATGTTTCCAAAGGGATAGTTCCATATTTTCCGGACTATAGCCCACAGGGACAAATTGCGGATGAAAAATAAAAGCTTTTCCTTAAATAGTGTTGCACCTAGTGTCTAGTCCACACAATAAAGCTCTCAAACAATGCGCACTTGGACAAATGCCTGCTTTAGCTTGTGAAGAAGCTTGTACCATATATAAAAAATTATTATTATCATCTGTCATTCATAAAATGCATTACCTCTCATTGCAATAAATGATCTCGAAACTTTAACTTGTTATAAATTATCTCAAAACAACTTTAAAATGTGGATAGTCTGCATACTATAAGCCCGGAAAATACAGTAAAAAAAGATAAATAAGTGCGTATGCTTTTTTTTTTTTTTTTTAAATATCTGACGGGAGCACAAACAGCGCTTGCAAGCTGTTCAGACTGAGAAGCATTGGATAAAAACACTGAGGGCAAAAAGTAGACACGTTTCTTTGATTCGGCTTCATTTCGGCACATACACTTCCACAACATTAAAGCGATCTCAAGCTTTGAACCGGGGGTACTTTGCAGAGCTTCTCCATGAAACGACAGGCTCTCGTCCTCTAAATTAAATCCCAAGAAGCGTTAGAAGTCTGCCTCAAAAAGACTGGCGCTCCGACTGCCACTACCAACAGCGGAGCAAACACGCAAAGCCGCCATTTCGAGCATATCACGTGCACAGGGCGTGTTATTTTGGAACTATAAATAGCCTTTCTAAAGCAAAACAGGTGCAAATAAAATAGTTATAAATTTTTTGAGACACAAAAGATGGCAGCACGTCCCAGGGTGCACGCGATTTCGCGTTTGTGAGGAAACTATCAAATCTGTAATAGCCGCCGTACATGTACAGTGGCGACCCCCAAATGGCTAAGAATTCCTCGTCTGCTAAAGGGCGACTTGGACTTGACATAGAACTCTACTCTGTGCACCCCCGAGCCGACAGGATGTTGGGAGCTAAGTGTTTTCCCGACCAATCAAAAGCCTGCATTCTATTGCTCGAACCCTCCCACTGCACGAGTGCATGAGTGAGGACTAAGCGGTGAAAGATTGACGTACGAAGACAGGTTCCAATATTTGAGTTTGACCGATGGTGCGAAAACCACTGGTGGCCGTTTGTGACGAGGTGGTTTCCATTGCAACAGAGATTCTGTGCAATGCATTCTAGTAGAGCGCAGGGTTGTTCTAATGGAGTCAATCCCCCTCAAACGCAGATGTTTGAGTCCGCCTCGACCGGTCCAACAAGCATGTGGCTTAGAGGGGTTAGGATACGAAAATTAAAAGGGTATATTATTCTTGAAATGGAATGCTCACAGGCTACTTAGAATATACGTCAACTTTCACACTTTTTAGAGCTCTAATAATTGCAATGATCAACTTACGAATGCTGACCATTTTCGTCCGCCGACCAGGCAACACTGCCCAAGTCAGTCACACTATGGTGCCCATAAACCATGAGTTCATCATATTTAGTTGAACGCTCTCTCCTTCTAGATGTGCCCGAGCTTGCTTCGTCACGGTACCATCGCGCACTCTCGTGCAACTCGGCTACTCCTACACTACTCTTGCTCCAGTTCCTTTGCCCTCCGACCTTCCACCCTGCGTGCACGTGCAAGATCGTCGTCGCAGAAGCTGGTCGCCGGCGGGTCAAAGCCAAAATGACCAGCTTCCAACATCTGATAACAATCACTCTCGTCGCTGCTACAATCGGTGTCGAAGACTCTGACGAAGTGAGAGATGCCGTAGACGTCGTCATCTCAAAACCTGAAGCGCGGGACGCCGAGAGAGGCAAGTCTGCAAATGCATGCAAGGGGACGACGCACGTTGGGCGAAGGATATCACCGACCCAACAAACATGGCGGCCCTCCCAAATGGGGTGGATCCGAGGGTTCAGCATATAAATTGATTTATCAACGAAGCTATTGCACCATTTTCAAAACAAATTTAGCAAAAACAGAGGAACCTACAATGAGTTCTCGCACTATTATTATCTCATACTTTGATTTTGGTGTCCTAAGCACTTTAAATGCTCCGTCAGCTTAGTGGTAAACAAAGCACAGGGTGGACGACAGAGACAAACGGACATTCAATAAAAATACTTCCTAGAAAAAAGAAAAAAAAAACTAAGGTTTGAAGCCTTTTCATCTGAGACCGCAACGAACAAAGAAATGGAGACAGCTGCAAAAAATGTCTATTACAGTCAGCTTTTTTTTTTTTTTAATTATTATTTAACAGGATTGCTACCTGCATTGGCCCAAAGCGAGGAGCTGCAAGCAGCTGCAGTTCTGTGGCCAGTCTCGAGGGTGGGCTCCTTTTGACCCCATTCGAAACAGTGTTGTTGTGGTTTGCTACCTTTCCTGTTTATCCCAGTCTCAAATTAAACATTGATATTGTACCTCAGCTTGCCTTTCTTCTATTAGCATTAGGCCACATGCATGCTTTAAAAAGAAAAGAGTAAGAAATTCACTGTTTGTCAATAAGTCAAAGAGACACCTCCATCCTTAAAAAGGCTTTTGAGAGTATGCAGTCAGCATGCGCACACAACTCCCGCCTTATCTCTGCTCCTACAACACCTAGCTTTCACTGCCTCCAAACTCACGTCGCTCCAGGCAACGTCGAGCACAGGTCCCTGATGAGTCTGCTGCGCCTTGGGAATGGTCTGTCCCGTGCTCTGCACCTCCCAGCACCTTATCTGTGACAGGTAGAGGTATGATGACATGTAAACATAAGGGTGCACAAAGGACAAAGGAAAGGAACACACAAGCGTTGAATCGCAACTGAAATAAAATACACAAAGGAAGGAGGTGAAAGCATCAAAAAGGCTCACACAATTAGTGCGCACCACAGACACATAGCTTAAAACATAAGGTACAGACAAGTACCCCAAATAAAAATAGGTTAACTTCAAACTACAAACGAATTTTATTACACAATGACCTCTCCAAAAATAAGGTTTCCTTATCCAACAGCCCCATGGAAAGCTGGCTAAGGCAGCATTCTCCCAAAACCATTGATAACATATGCTTCTAGAATTTTCTGAGTGCCTGTCTTTATATCTCCCAATAATTGTCATGCCTTGAAAAGATGGTGTACATAAACAAGATCTGCAGTGCAGTGTATCGGATTAGCTGAAGCTTTAATAAGCATATCTGAGCCATTGTAAAAAAAGTGGAAGCCGTTTACAACTTCCTGTAAGGCCGAATTAGAGCGCAGCTCTTGACGAGGAGTAGGGAAGGGTACTGAGGGAGGGCGGGGGGGGGGTCATGTAAACCCCCCCATTTCCCCGAGGTCACCGAAGGTACCCGAGGTCCTCCCAAAGGAACCGAAGGTCCTTCGGGAGGACCTCGGGTTCCTTTGTGAAAATTTACCCATAATGCACTGTGCGGTTACGCCGACGCCGCTCAAGCCGGAAACAGGTGCTTAAGAGCTGCGCTCTAAAAAAGAGTGGCCAATACATATGATGCCCCCATGGTATTTTTGGCTAGCCCAAAAGTGGCTCAGATCTGCTCAAAGGTTTGTTCAAAATCTGACAACCACACGAAAGCCGTAGGCTGAAAACGCCACAGGCAACCCTTTGTTTCCTGTTCAGTCGGCCTGACGTACAAAGAGGAAGGACATAAAGTAAATCAAGTATTGCCAGGGCTAATGTATGCAGATGACATTGTACTCGTATCAGAAAGTTGTGACAATACAGAAGCTAATTAAGATTTGCAGCAGGGAAGGGGACAGTTTAGGACTAAACTTCAGTAGGGACAAGTTGGGTATAATAGTTTTCAATGACGAGAAAGGGGGAACCCCTGAAGCTACAGGACAGTAGTAGAACACATAGAAAAGTACAAATATCTGGGAGTATGGTTAAACGAGGGAAGAAAGTATCTAAAAGAACATGAAGATATTGTAATAAAGAAGGGGAAACGAGATTCAGCTATCATGAAACACAGGGCACTATGGAACTATAATGGATATGAAGTCGTTAGGGGTGTATGGAAGGGAGTCATGGTGCCAGGACTGTCATTTGGGAATGCGGTATTGTGTACGAGGTCAGAAATCCAGGCAGGTTTAGAGATACACGAAGGAGTGTGTGTAGGTTGGCATTGGGGGCACATGGGAATACACCAAATGAGGGAGTACAGAGGGATATGGGTTGGGCATCTTTCGAGAGTAGAGAAGCGATCAATAAACTTTGAACAAAGACTAGCTGAAATCGAGGATATGCGATGAGCGGGGGAAGTGTGCAAGTATCTATATATGAAAAGCCGGGACAAACCGAACCCGCAAGCTGATATTTAAATACATTCAACAAGATGGAGCCGATCAGAGCATATCAGTAGAAAAGAGAGTAAAGGAAACCGAGAGGAAATTGCGGGAATAGAGAATGCAGGGGAAATCAGCTTTAACAATATACAGGGCACAAAACAAGAAATAAAGAAGGAACAGCTGGAAGATAATTCAGTGGGGAGCTCATTGCTGTTTGAAGCTAGAACGTGGGTGCGAAGCAGTGTTGTACACATTCCTCAAAAAAAGGAACGAAAGCTCGTTCCTCGTTCCTTCTGATTTTTGGAACGCATTCCCGTTACAAGTTCCATCTGTGAAAAAGGAACTCGTTCCCGTTACAGCGTAAGAAAATGGAACGTATCGTTACATATACGTTACATTTGTAGTTTGCTAATTACCATATTTAGTTCAATCAAGCAAAGATTGTTTTCTTTTTTTATCTATCCCATCAATACGCAACATACGATACGGCATGATTGTAAACCTGAGACTGGGGCAGAAAAGAGAACACAACAGAAGGTAGTAAAAGAGGAGGCAACCCTCCTCTTTTACTACCTTCTGTTGTGTTCTCTTTTCTGCCCCAGTCTCAGGTTTACAATCATGTTCAACTTACACCAGCTCGCCTGCACTCTGACTATTTTTTCGTATACGATACGAGTTTGTATGTCGCGATAAAAGAGCACCAGAAGACGAAAACGAGCGGAAGCAGGGTTTTATTTGTTGATATATTCAAGTTAAAAATCTCAGCTTTTAACCACATTCATGTTTGTAGTGGAAGATTGAGACGAGCCAAATGTAACCACAATGCACGAGCGTTTTACAACAACCTCACACGTTTCAATTTAACAAAGTCCCTTGTTAGAACTTAACAACAGTTGCTTCTCGATGTTGCTGTCCGCAAGACGAGCAAGTACAAGAGCGGGTATGGATTTTTGAAGGTCAGTCTTGAAAACTACAAATACTTCTTTGTGAAGGCTGGATTTGTTGTTCAGTTTGAAGGTAGGGGACAAGAGAAGAAATAAAGGGTATTTTTTGTGTATTTTTTAAGTGACCAATGTTCGGGATACAGGGTGTGTTACATGTCTGGCAACCTGTGATCTTGTTGTAACTGTAGGTCTCGTTAGGGAAGTTCAGAAATGGCTGTAGTTGGCCTTAGATTTCTGGGTGTTGGTGTATGAGGGTTCGTGAAACCAAAAAAAGTAGTCGAGTTTGAAATGACCCTCTTTGTTTTTTCCTACGACTAGAAGCTTTGCTTTTTGCGCCGCAGTTTCGGGCACTCAAAAAAGAGTCAATGTCCACCAGCTCTCCTGCACCCAAAACTATTAGCAAGCGAGGACCACACAAAATTACCCACAAGATTAGCAGTCAAATAGTTAACGAGATCCTGCACTTCGTAAAGATATTGCTTTTGTATTGTAAAAATTTCCCTGTTATAAATAAAATAAAAGCTAACCCACTGGACGAAAAAAAAGGAACGCCGTTACTCTTTCCGTTCCAGTAAAAATGTAACGCGTTCCCGTTCCAGTTCCAGCGATGCAAAATGGAACGGCGGCGTTCCTTCGTTCCTCCTAAAAGGAAAGCGTTCCAGGAACGCCGTTCCTTGGAACGCCGTTCCGCACAACACTGGTGCGAAGAACGAAAATGTATAGGGCTAAATTCCAGAAAATAGACTCTGTGCTGTCGTGCCGGGCTGTGGCCGGCGGTCAGACTGCACGGCCCACCAGCGACGGCAAGCAAGCAACTGAGCGTACAGACAGTCGAAAGCCGGGAACCAAAAAGCATGTTTATTTCACGAGTCAATGGCTTTTTACAGAAGACGCGGGCACAGTGTTCGCAACCCAATTACTGAAAGTGTCCAAACTTGGCACTAGAGCCGCCCACAACATCTCCCCCCTCAAGAATGTTCGAGAATGCACCGGACACCTTGGCTGTGAAAAAAAACATAGCCTTACAGATTGAGTCTCTTGGGAGCAATCACTTGTCTCCCGGAACGGGTCGTGTAGGGTTGGCCCGTACCGTCACCACGAACACCTGGTGGTGATGCTGGACGAGGCACAACAAGATGAGGGGAGTCGCCAGGTCCACCTGAGGCCGAACCGTCGCCATCATGTATAACGATGAGGGAAGTCGCCAGGTCCACCTGAGGCCGAACCGCTGTTGAAGTCTGCCGTCTGCTTCCTGCGGTAGTCGGAGTCTCGGGTAACAACCAGGTCTCGTCCCGGATAAGAGGCTGTAGCTGCTCCTCCCTCTTCGGGACCCGCGTTCGAAGCTGGCGGCCCATCAGCAGCTGTGCTGGGCTGTAGCCGGTGACACCTGGCGTGTCTCTGTAACTGAGGAGTGCCAAGTATGGGTCCTTGGCCTTGTGGAAGAGGTTCTTAATGGTTCGAACCATTTGCTCCACTTCACCGTTTGACTGGGGAAAGTTTGGGCTACTGGTCACATGTGCAAAGCCGTAGGAGCTTGTGAATCTGGCGAACTCCCGCGACGAAAATGGGGGACCGTTGTCAGACCGGACAGTCTTGGGGATTCCGTGACGAGCAAACATACTCTTGAGGACGTCAATGACCTTCCTTGCCGTCGTGCTTCCCAGCGTCACCACTTCCGGGTACCGGGAATAGTAGTCAAATAGGAGAATGAAGGTTTGGACGTTCAGGTGGAAGAGGTCGACGCCGAGGACTTCCTACGGAAGACTAGGGAGACTTGTGGCACAGAGGGGTTCCGCCAGGTTGACTCGGCACGAGGCACATTGCTCACAGTTCGCCACAAGGGAAGTGATGCTGGCATTGATCTGGGGCCACCAGACTGACTCGCGGGCTCTGGACTTGCAGCGGTTGATACCTTGATGGCCTTCGTGGATCAAGGCAAGTATCGCTGGGCGCAGTGCAGCTGGGATGACGATACGGGTTCCCTTCAGCAGAAGACCATTACAGACTGAAAGTTCTTCCAATACGGGTGCATACTTTGCAACGTGCAAAGGTAACTTTCCCTTGGATGGCCAACCGCCCTGACAAAATGAGATGAGCGTACCGCATTCACCGTCGGATGCTTGAGCCATCTTGAGATCTTCTATGGGAACTGGAAGCACCTCAAAGGAGCCGTCCACTGTTTCAGCTGCGAAAAGCTCGATGGCATCCAGCTCTCCTGGCGCGACGAGGGCCTTGCAAGGGATTCGAGACAGTGTGTCGGCTGTGGCTAGTAGTTTTCCAGGAACGTGCAGCATTCGGAATTGATACCGCACGAGCTTCAGCCGCAACCGTTGAATCCGCGGTGGCAAGACGTCGAGCTCCATCTTTCCGAAAAGGGAGACCAATGGCAGATGATCCGTCTCAACATCGAAGGAGATGTCACACACATACTCGTCGAACCTCTGTACAGCCCAGGTGACCGCCAAAGCCTCCTTCTCCGTCTGGCTGTAGCGCTGCTCAGTTGTTGTCAGGGATCTTGACGCAAAGGCGACAGGTCGTCTCTCTCCTGTTGGTTGAGTCTGCAGCAGCACCGCGCCTAGGCCGAAGGAGCTTGCATCCGCCGAGACCGTAGTTGGGTAGGCTGGGTGGTATTTTGCCATACAACGGTCGGACGTCAGCAGCTTCTTGAGAGCATCGAAGGCGACTTCTTGTTCGTACGACCAGGTCCACTCTGTGTTTTTGCTAAGCAGAGCCCTGGTCGGCGCTGTCACTTGGGCCACGTATGGAAGGAAGCGGGCCAAGTGGTTCACCATGCCGAGAAGTCGGCGTACCCCAGCGACATCCGTTGGTGGGTCCATGTTTAGCACGGCAGACAGCTTGCCGGGATCGGGCCTTATCCCTTCCGCTGAGACAACAACTCCCAGGAATGACACTTGGGACACTCCAAAACTGCACTTCTCCCTGTTGAGGGTGACGCCGGCTTTGGAGAGACGCAACAGCACCTGCTGCAGGCGTTGGTCGTGTTCTTTCTTCGTTTTGCCGAAGACTAGGACGTCGTCCACCATGTTGACTGTTCCGTCTAGGCCCTCCAAAATCCATGCCATCTGTCGCTGGAAAAACTCTGGGGCAGACGTGATGCCAAATGGGAGGCGGCAAAAGCAATAACGCCCAAACGGCGTAATAAATGTCGTAAGCTCCTGAGAGTCCTGGGAAAGCTTGACCTGATGGAAGCTTGATGTAGCATCGAGCTTCGAGAAGACTGCTGCATCGCCCAGAAGTCCCAGGACTTGATCGACAGTGGGGAGCACATCACGTTCTCTCAGGACAACTTGATTCAGCTTGGTAAGGTCAACACAGAGGCGGTAGCCTCCCGACGACTTTGGAACCACAACCAGTCCAGCACACCAAGGTGTGGGGTTGGTGACCCGACGAATGACTCCGTCTTGTTCAAGTTTGGCCAGCTCCGTACGCACGACCTCGCACAGGGGTATCGGTATGCGGCGTGGAACACTAAGGGAAAACGGAACCGCATCTGGGCGTAAACGGATCTTGTACTCCTCCTTGAGCGTGCCGAGGCCTTTGAAAAGTCCCTGCGGCACCTGTACTTTCATGTCGTCCAAAAACTTGACCACGAATGTGGGCGTGGGTTCGAATCCCACTTCTGACACCATGTCATGCCGGGCTGTGGCCGGCGGTCAGACTGCACGGCCCACCAGCGACGGCAAGCAAGCAACTGAGCGTACAGACAGTCGAAAGCCGGGAACCAAAAAGCATGTTTATCTCACGAGTCAATGGCTTTTTACAAAAGACGCAGGCACAGTGTTCGCAACCCAATTACTGAAAGTGTCCAAACTTGGCACTAGAGCCGCCCACAACATGTGCAACATGTTGTGGGCGGCTCATTGTGTGTGGGCAACATTAAACATCATGTGGGCAACATAAAATAAATACGCACAGCGTCTTCAAGTCAAGGTATGCTACTTTTCCTACTCTCATGACCACAAGGCATGACAAGCAGTAACGCTTTGTCCGTTCTGCAGTCTTGGCGGTAACACGTTACAAGTAACGGCGTTACCAGGAACGAGTTACTTTTTTCAGGTAGTAACCTACTCGTTACTTTTTCGACACAGTAACAGGTAACATACTTACTTTACTATTTTAAGCAACGTAGTTACGTTACTCGTTACTATAATTACACTTCAAGTTTTTCCGTGTTTTTAGGCGTCAAGCCATGCTTTTCTTTGCGTTTTTTCTCGTCAGTGTTTAGGTGAAACCATAAAAAGAGATGAAGTAATTATGTTCTGTTTCTGCATGAACATAATGTTTCTTGATGTATGAGCTTATGCATACCTGTATCGTCAAAACCGTAAAACATGTTAAATCATAATTTAAAAGGTAACGCAGAAGTAATGTGCGTTATTTTTTACCTGTAGCGGTAACGCGTTTCTTTTATTTTTAGGCAACGTAGCTCAGTAACGCGTACCTTTGATTTGCAAGTAACGAGTAACGCATTTCGTTACTTCTTTTTGGTAACGCCTACAACACTGCCGTTCTGTCGCCGATCCCCTTCTGCTGCAGGTAGCAGGGGCGTAGCGAGCCTCCGACGAGCGCTTGGCCGGTGCTTTGTGCGCGAACACCGTGGGAACAAAATCCGGGTGTTCTCGATCAGAGGACGGTTTCCCTGTACATAAGCAAGCCTCGGGGTGGAGATTGAAATGGAAGCCGCACTTGCCTCCAAGAAAGTGCTTGCCGCACAAACGCGCGAGGCGACCATAATTTTCGATCCACGATATTATCCACCTTCTATGCCTTTTGGAGTCTGCCGGGAACTTGTAGAAGCTCACTCCGCTACTTTTCTTGTACGTTTCGGTGAGATTAAAGGCAACACAGCTTCGCGGCATGCTGAAATACTATGACGCCCATGCGAAACGTGCGTCCTTTTGCCCACACCCGTCGGCTCCGGTGCGATCGCAGCGCCGTGACGTCAAGCCCGCGTGTCGGTCTATAGAACATGTAATTTTCCGATTAATAATGCAAATAAATGCAAAGGTGCAAGCTAGCTGGACAAGAATGATGCAAGAATGCACGGGGCTTCGTCCCACCCTCTTGAGGGGGATGACTGCGCACAGCTTTACACTGAATATCTTGCTTATGTTATATGTTATATTAAGCATATAATTAGTTTGGGAGAACACCGCATAAGCCAGCCTCCCGTGCGGCTGTTAGATGAGGAAACCTTATTTGTGAAAAGGTTCTTGTGTAGTAGAATAAATTTGTAGTTTTAAATTAAGCCATTTTGATTTGGAGTACTTGTCATGTGTACTCTGCCCGTCTGTGGCGGGCTCTTATAGTGCAAGTTTTTTCGACGCTTTCATCTTCTTTCTTGGTGTATTATGTTACGATGTCATGATGGTCTCAGATCTTAGAAAAAGCATTCGGTGAGCACGCTCGCAATGGTGTGGCGTGCGCCATTGCTTTTGGAATTCACGCCCAACTGACATGGCTGCTCATTGATCTCGTTTATTACTTGTTAAACAGTTTGTCGAAACCATCCCCCTAACCTCAACAAGGAACATATTATATTTCAGTTGCGAGTCAGCCCTCGTGTGTTCCTTCGCTACGTCCTTGTCCTTTGTGCGTTCTTCTATTTGACAGGCAGAGTTAAAGCCGGCAGAAACCAAAATGCCTTGCGCCATGGGAACTGCGTCACCAACTCACCTGGTTATCCCAGCTGCCGGCAATCAAGAAGTTCTGCGGGAGCGAGGCCGGGCTAAAAGCCAGGCTACTGATGGAATCGTCCGGGGGCGAAACGACCTCGAAGTCTTTCATCGGGTTGTGCGTGCCGGTGGCAGAAGCTGCCGAAAACATGCCCACGCCGCCACCGAAGTTGACGGAGTTGTTAGCGGACGCGAACATGGCTAGCGTGTGGCTGACGCGCTAGGTCGCCCCGAGAAAAATTGAGGATCAGGCGCCTACGGCTTTCCCAGCGATTTACACACAACTCGGTTACAGACGAAGCTCGGAAGGAAAGGTGTAAAAACGAACTACGAAGATCGTGCCACCATGTTTGTTTGTTGCACTTGGATAGACAGCTGGATTGTCTTGGTGAGAAATGGCTATTTTGTTTTAAAAATAAAATACAACATCAATTACAACTGACGTACTTCACACTAATAAATTAATTTAAATATTATAATATAATTTTATTTGAGTTTATTTATTGCGTTGTATAAAGTATTTGGTTTTAAACTTATAATTAGGGTTCGGAGTTTTCGGTTTAAACCGATAAAAACCGATAAAAGTACGCCGAATTCATTTTCGAAAATTCGGTTTTAACCGAAAAAGGTCAGTTTGTAGGTTTGGCGTTTTCGGTTTAAACCGATAAAAGCACGTCTAATCCATTTTCTAAAATTCGGTTTTAACTGAAAAAGGTCAGTTTTTTAGGGCCGCCTCGAGGTGAGTGAGGGAGGGGGGGGGGGGGGGGGGGAGAGATGATTTCGCAAGGTTCGACATTTTTGACGTCTTCGTGATTACCCTCTCCCAAGGTTCAACATGCAACAAAAGAGAACTTGGATTGGACTTCGCGGGACATCTGTGTCCTTTCTGTGATCAGGCTTTGTGTTAGTGTGTGAAGTGCCCGGTCCTAATGCACTTCAGAGGGCATCGAGGAAAGCCATAAATACCTTTCTTAATACTCCCTCTCAAACTTCCCCGTGGTTGAGGATATAAATACAATATATTTTTTTTTTCTTTTGCCATTCTGCTGGTTCCTGTACGGCCATCACCTTAGACGTGCACGTTGTCACAATTGGAAGGAAAAAGAAGTGCGCTAAAGATTATGTCCGCGAATTCCGCGATTTTTTGAGGTGTGTCCTGACGGAAGTTGTAGCGAAGAACACGTATGTATATCTGTCGTTATTTTTTAAGCGAACACAAATATCACAACTACAAGAATCATCTGACCCGGTGTCCGATGGTGTTTCTTTCATATCCACCGAAAAAAAAACGGTCAACTTTTTGGGGAATAAATATACACCGAAAAAAAACCGAAAGATTAATTTTAAAATAAACACCGAAAAAAGTACGCCGAATGTTGAAAAAATAAAAACCGAAAACGCGGAACCCTACTTATAATTTGACACTTTGTGACGTCATACTTGCTGAAAAGCTCACCCGTCTGAAGAATCGAACGGTGCGTTTTTATTTGGCGGGAAAACTGTGGTGCCCTCGTCATCAGCTGGTGCTGTTGTAGAAAATTACATATAATTTCGAACGGATTGTTCAGTTCTTCAATTGCGCTAGCGGTGGTAGAGTGAAAGCAGACACCAGCGATAACTTAGGCAAGCTTTAACCGATGTCTCAACTGTTTTCGACAACCAGATCTCTTCGTTCGTAGTGACTCGTAGCCATGAACGAGATGCTCGACAAGTTCGATTCAGCATCGGACGGCCAACTACTGGAAAAAGAACACTTTTTAGAACCCGAAGTGTCACCGAGTCCAGAGCGCTTCGAGGTGAAAGATTCAGGCTCTGGTATGGGCGTAGAAGGGGCACCGGAGAGTTCGAGCCCTGAGACCCGTCCGTACCCTGCCCTGGACGAAGTGCCGCCGAGTATCGGTGCAAGCAACGGAGGGGAGCTGCTGACAGCCGACACGTTTCAAGGCGGCGAAAGAGCGCTGGCAAGCCCTCTCGGTGTCTGCGCCCCAACAGATCATGACGTTGATCTGCCTGAGGTCGGCATGAACGCAGTTACGAGCGATGACGAAAAATCGGCCGCAAAATCCGACGGGCGTGGTTCCAAATTTGGTCCTGCATCTCCCGACGTTGCATCACACGACGTCGCGTCACAAGACGTTGCATCTCACGATGGATGCAAGCAACTTCCAGTGGTAGCCTCGGATGTTTCGGGACCTGCCCGCGACGTTGGTGTTGTGTCTCTCGACACTGCAACTTCGGACGACGAATGTGACGACCCTCCCGTGCTGGCCCTCCTCCCGCGACGTGGTAGCAGTAACGGCGTTGCGTGTTCCGATGAATCCGGAGACGCTTCTGATGCGTCGCCGAAGCCTTCGGGACGTGATTTCGCCGACGAGGCCGCGTCATCCGATGACGAGCGTCAGAGTGCCAGTGTCGCCGTCGATGGCAACGAAAAGGCGGACACCGACAGCACGCCCAAACGCCCCAAGGACCAGAAAGTACAGCGCAAGTCTGCTCAGAGAGCGGCTAGTGAGCTGCAACAGATCTACAGCACAAGTCAGCGGATGGCCCGAGGTCAGGCAACCTTGCCTCAGTCGTTTTGTTCAGTCTATTTCGGTATGGGAGAAAGCTATACCCACCTCTTTCCACTTTAGCAAAGCGAATGCTGGAGGGGAGGGGAGGAGAGAAGTGGAAAGCGGTGGGGAATGCTTCCCCTCAGCTCTTAACCTGTCACCGACTAGAATACATGCTTTTGGCGAGAACATATACAGCGTGAATAGTTGTCAACATAAAGAGGCAATGCTGGGCCGTTTGTCTGTTGGCTCAGGTAATTGAGCGTACGGGTTTGTAGTGCCTCTGCTCGATGGCACTACTCGTGGCCCTGAAGTTTGTTGGCGATAGTGGTAGTGAGAAATCATTTTGAGGCAAGAGGACGGACGAAGAATGCTAGTATTTCGGAGAATGTTGCAGAAAAGGTAGTTTGATCAGTTGATTCAGAACTGAAGACGCTTATCTTAATGAGAAAAGCTACCCCTGCGACCATGCGTCACCACATTCTATTGTTGGCTCGTTCAAAAAACTCCGATACCACTTTATGGTTGCCGGACTCCCTGCGGTGCTGGCTAGATTGGCGGCTCTTAGCCCCTTGTCAATGCTAGTGCCCCGCATGTTGCGTACCAAGCTCTCCCATAGCTTTACGGAGTTTTGAAGGACTCTGGCATTAGCGAAGAGAGGAAGTTTGTGCTGGAGGTGGGACAACTACGGGGCCTCCCTTTTATTCTCATCCTGCTCGTGACTAGAGACAACATGCCTTTGTAGGGAGCGTACAGCCACCGACGTAACAAAGCGACACTGAGCCGTTTGTGCATTGGCAGATAGTCTTGTACATTTCTAAAAATGTTCCCATAGTCGGTCAGAAGTTAACCATGTGCCCAACAAACACCACCACTTACTAGCCATGGCATCAGATTGCCAGGACAGGCCGCGACAAGTTAAACAATGTTGGTGCGATATATCCTGATAAGCAGTCTACGCAATAATTGGCTTGCATTGTTGTCGCATCAGCCGCCATTGCTCCCTACCGTGCTCCTGTGCCCCTAACTTCTGCGGCATACATTTCACACCACTGAATTTGTTCTTCTTGGCGAGCCTTGCAGAGAACACATTCGATGGCGCCAAATATTTGCTGCAGAAGGTACAGACATGGGAGCATGGTACGGAGCAATGGTGTCTGGTACTGTGCCGTATGATGTCACGTGCAAGGCATGTATAGCCTCAGTAATGGACTACTTGTACGTCATTGGGAAAGAGTGACTGGCAGTAATGAGGGTGTGGGAGGGGCTTCTGGTGCATTCTTAACTTGTACCTGACTATTGAATCGCAGTAGGCTAGAATGTGGGGGTTTCAACATTTGTAGGTCCCGTTTCTGCTCGACTTTGCCCTCCAAGAAGTGTAGAACTATTGTACTTGCAAACTACTAGACAGTTTACAATACGCATGTGACATATCTGCCACGTGAATAGAGGATGGCATGAAACCCGAGACTGAGGGATACACAAAAGTGGACATTGCAGTAAATTTAATTTAGCCCCCCCCCACCGATTTCGTGGACCCTTCTGGCCTCCTAGTATGTAGTCTCCCCGCTAAATTGAGCAGAAAAATTGACGTCGCATGATTTATACACCAATTAAGCTTTTCCGCTAAATTTAGTGGGAAATTTGATGTCATGTGACCCAACATCATGGGACCTACAAACCAATTCAGTTTCCCTGCTATATTTAGCGGAAAAAGTGACGTCGCATGACCTATACACAATTCACTTTCCCCGTTAAACTTGGTGGGAAATTCAATGTCACATGACTTGACGTCATGGCACCTACAAAAAAAATTTACAGTTTTTTTTTAACCGCAAAAAAAATCTAGGCATCGCCGAATGCTCATTCTCCGCACAAAGGCAGCGCTAGAGGTCACAGCCAGATGCCAAAGTTTCAGCCCGATCCGATAATTTAATCAAAAGTTATAAGTGATTTTCTGAAAATTTCAGTGGGAAAATGAAGCCCATTTTTGCCCGTTTTCGGTTTCTGGTGTTATTGGCCTCGAGATCGACCTGAAGGTGGCACTACGGTCGTGCTATCATCATCATCAAAGCGGGGATAGGAGAACGGCCGCCCCATAGGCTCTCCACGTTCGCGCGCGAGACGGCGTATATTCTTGCGTTTATTTTGTCGCATACTATCGGTGGGAAACAATTCTAGCGGAAAAGGATGCGGTACTGTTCAACGCTTCAGTGAAGATTGAATCGTGTTGCCAGCGTGCGGCCTAAATTTATATAATCACTTCTGTGGGTGCATCATCTGCTCTAGGCAAGCATTGGAAAACATGGATCACCACGACTGATGCCTGTCTCTGGCTCAACTGGAATATTTATGTTAAATATTTGTTTCTTTTGAAATGGATGTATCGGTTCATCAACGTGGCAATTAAAGAAACAATAAATTCCAACTCAGATAACATAATACTGGTACTGTGGGCTGTGAAATCGCAGCTTCTATGCTTTTTTTTTAACTTCTTTCTTTTGCAGTAATATAAATATTTAGAATGAAGATAAGTCAGTGCTGTATTGGAAGTTACCATGCTATTGAGTTCCTCTGCCCTTTTACTGTCATAGTGTCGGAAAGGTTTTTGGAGTCTGAACAAATCTACTGCATTGCTATGAGGACAAGGTGTCTCTTCTAGTTAAGATCTGCAAACTGCACGGTTGGCAGGACAACTGAAACAAGCTGTTCTAATATATCTGCCGTGACTGTAATAAACGGGTGTAACCGAGCAACGCATCAATGTTCCTGTTATTAAATGCTTTTCTCGGTAGTGTGGGTTCATCCGCTTCAATTATCTTGGCAAGGGCCGCGGATGTCAAGGCTAATACTATAAATTTCTGGCTAAATAATCTTGTATTCAAACACAGTAGACTGTGCAACCCCAACAAACGACGCGCACCACGACACGGACAGCATCGGCCACAGTAATACTCTTTTACTGATGAGGGCTAGCGACCTTCACGAGAGTTTCTGATCACCCTCCACCCTCACCTAATGTATATCAGGACTGGGCAGTTCATCGATTAACTCTCAGATTATTCAAGTAATGCTTTAATTGCAATTTTTTTTTTGCCGGTTAATTGGAGTCTTGTGCTGGAGAAAGTCAACAAGGAGTAAAAAATGCCTGCTTTAATATTTTTGACGTCTTTATTTCTTTTGTGACACTGGCTTGCGCGGTAAACCACTTCAGCGTGCTTGTCATTTCACCGAGGGGGTTACTGTTTAAATAATAATTTAAAAAATACTTCATTTTAAAAGGCTTCCAGTGTTCATATTTATGTAGGACTAACAACGTGAAGTTTAGAATGGGAATGGCAGTACACTGTGATCGATGGGAGTGTGACCCAAAGTCTGACGAAACAAGAATTGTTGGAAGCGGCGCAACAAAAATCGCTCGCGAAACCTTGGAGGCCTTCACCATAAGATCTCGTGGCACCGATGTCTGTGTCAGCGCCCCATCTTTATCTCTATCTGATAGGGAGTATACGTTCCTTCAAAATGAACGTGTCATGTAGGAAAATGCGCTAGGCTTCGTTCTATCTTTTTTCTTACCCATGCGCACGTGTACATTGGGCATAGCTTGCTTTTCTGTGCTTTTCTAAAATAAAGTTCAGTTGAAAGTGCGCCTCGTCCTGTCTGCTTCTCTCCTTGTGTCCTCGTTGTTTTGGCGCCTCACTTCAAGGAATGCAATGTGTTATTTATGACATAGTAAAACCAGTAAAAAAATGTGTGGTTTTAATTGTCTTTCACGCAATATGACCGGCGAAAAATCAACATACGGATTTATTGATTGATTAGTCTATTAAACAATAGCGATCAGTCGGGTTAATTTCCTAATCAGACCACAGACCCACTCAACATTCAATGCTTTATGAAAGCCACGGTTTGTGCGAGGTAGCAAAAATACGTGGGACCAGCGATTGCATAGAAACCAACACACTAAGATTATGGAAGCTTCCGACGTAATAATAATCGCTTTGCTGAATTTCTACGCATGGGAAACGATGCAACACAACCTTTAGTAAGAAGAAATGGCAACAAAAACATAAGACATTTATTAAGGAATGTCAAGCTCAGCCTGAAACGGGCTTGCGTCGTCGAGATCCATGTTTCTGAGCGTGCGTCCATAGCAGACGACGCACGGCGGTATCCCCGCTTTCGCGCGTTTCCAATTTCGGCCGCACGGTGGCGACACGGTTCGATCTCGAGGCGAATAGAGCCCCATGTGTTCGAAAACTTCGTCGGCCGCCATTTTCCCATTGAAAATTTCAGAAAATCACTTATAACTTTTCAATAAGGAATCGGATCGGGCTGAAACTTTGGCATCTGGTTGTGACCTCTAGTGCTACCTTTGGGAAGAGAATGAGTGTTCGGCGATGCCTAGTTTATTTTTGCGGTAAAAAATACCTGTAAATTTTTTTTTGTGACAACCTGTAGAGTTTGGCCATTTATTTAGAAGTAAAGGAGATAAAGAAGGAAGCGTTATTGTCCGAAAGCATGCTGGGCATCTTTCAGGGTGTCTTCCCAAATTTGAATGTGGCCAACCAGAAGCCGGAAATAATACCCTGGCGGTGGTCTTGAGAAACAAAATTGAAAAGCGGGTTGGAGTAACTCTTGGTGACTGAAAATATGGTGCACGAGATGTTTCAATCGTGGTCATCCAAAATCATGGTGGAAGAGTGCAACTAGCAGAACGATCAACATAATCCGCGCACCAAGGGCCGGGAATCTGCCATTTGAGCGGTCGTACTCTGTTCGAGCAAAACAGAATTCGAGCAGCACATTCGTTTCTTACATCTTTCTGCCTTACATCTTTCTGCACGATCATAATCAAAATGACACGTGCACCTTACTTTCAACCGTGAAGGGTTACTACATACGCGTTTATTAGGACCCTATACACCTTTCCAAAAAACACTCGTTGCCAGGGACAACAAACTGTTTTCGAGCCCAGTCACTGAGTTTGAGGCTAGACTCTCACCGGTGTCCCTCCTAACCCTAACCGAGTGGACTGTGATTTCAACAGGCGCAGTTTCAAACGCTGCTGGTGGCTAAATTCTCGTATTTTCCTGCTGTATTTTGTGTTTCATGGTACATGTATGTTCCCGAGGACATTGAAAAAGCATTGTGCTACATTTGTAAAAACAAAAAAAGCAAAAAAAAAAAAGCTGTAAACTATTTTTGTTGGGTATGCGTGCGACAGAACGAATGCGACTGAAATGTATAGTTCTAGTTATTTGTTTCTTTCTTACAATAAGTTTTGACGGCGCCGCGGGATTCGCCGCATGTGAAACGACAAAGCGCTTTGCTGTCAAAAATAAATTGCAACAGAAGAGGGCCGAAAGTCATGCATTTTTCACGCTCACAAATAACGTGTTTACCGATGGACAGGACACGGACATACAATTGAGAAAGTGTTAACATCCGAACAATATATCGCACGTACCACACGATGCAGCATTATCCGGAAAGAATTTATTTGAGAAAGGTCTCAAATAACGCAGTCACAGTTGACAACAGTCACATCTTGACGATCGGGCAAAATCCGAGATGACTTCGTTTTGGGGAGAGCTTCCTCTTTTCACAACCTTACCAAGGCAAAAAAACAAACGCGACTGACCCGTTTCCCACCCCAACCCGGGCAACTATTTTTGGAGATGACTGAGGACTCTACGCGGATTATCTGTGGGAGGGGGAAGAACAATGTTCGCAAAATCGCGTCGAGGGTTGTTCGACGTCCTTCACCTCCTTCGTTTCCCGTGAATGTAAAGCAGAAAAACTTGAGTGGCAGGCACTTACCAGCCTTATTTCTAACAATAGAAGATAACACTAAAAGGGTACGCAGCACACATAAAAAAAAAATTTAAGTGGAAACTTTCAAGAGGGGCGAGAAAACGTTGAATGCAAAACCGCAAAAACGTAGTATACACCAACTCAACTCTCCTACGTCACGCCGCGGTGGTGGCGCGCCGGACGCACTTCCGGTCTGGGGCGGTGGGCAGAAGTCGCCGTGCCAGACATGCATTCCTGTGTTCCTTTGGAAGAAACGAGACAAAAAACCTGCCTTCTCGTCAAAATGCTGCGATGGGGGCTTTACCAAGAGAGTCTGGGAAGGTTTGAAGATCAGTTTTCATGTGTTTTTGCACCCTCCGTTCGTCCGAGAACGTGGATAGCAGCCGTGAAAAGGGCAAACTTGACGCTGTCGAACTACGATTGCGTGTGCGGGCCACAATTTGTAGTCGCCAGATGTATTTGCTTTGTTCCAACATGACCGAGAGAAAACCCCCAAGTTGTCCGGACCACCCACGAATTCAGTGCGTCTTCAAATTCACACGGCCGCCTGATCGTTCGAACTTTCGTCTGCTCTCTCAAAGTTGTCTGCTTTTTGTCGTCTGCTCGTTCCAACAAAAGCGGCCCGTAGACCAAACTTTGACCCGGTGATTGCAATAAGAAGTAATTGCAGGCCTCAAAAGACTTAAGTAGGCTCGGTGTAAACAGTAAATACAAGATGTTAATTATTGGTACCGGTGGCCATCACCTACTTGTTACGCTTTGTCTGTTCCCGCTTCCGATTTTCAGTATCGACGTCGATCATCGCCGCTACCTTTTACACTTTTGCAGCACGAGCGACGTCGTAACCGAAAATAGCTACAAGAATCTCATCATGGTTTTGGCGTCCATTCTGCAGCGTTCATGCGAATGAATCGCCGCACGTCAAATTATTTACGGAAAGTTTAGCGGCGTAACGAGCCTTGATAATTTCGCTCAGGCGATTGAAGTGGTAAGACATTGCGATGAGGACGTAGAATCGACAACTCCAACGCGAAAAAGAGTATGCAGACTCACACAGACGCCGACAACGTGACATTCGAATGGTTTGTTGACGCGGGACGCGGTGCTTCTTGCCCGTACTCCATTGCGCGTGCGTTCGAACTGTCGTCTGCTCTTTCAAACTTGGCTGCTTTTTGTCGTCAGTTTGTTCAAACGACAGCGGTAAACCAAACGTTGACCCGGTAATTGCGATAAGAACTAAGTGCAGGCCTCAAAACACTTCTGATGGTCGGTTGGGGTAAGTCGGCTAAGTGTAAACAGATACAAGAAGTTGTTGATCATTGTTACCAGTGGCCATCACCGACTTGCAATGCCCGTTCTACTTGAGGTTTTCAGTATCGATGCCCACCATCTCAGCTACGGTCCACGCTTTTTCAGTCCGAGCGACGTCGCGACTGAAAATAGCGAGCAGAATCTCGACGTGGGAGTCAGGCTTTAGCGCCCATTCTGCGGCGTCCACGTGAAATGAATCGCCGCACGTCACATAATTCACGCAAAGTTTTGCCTCGATAGTTTTGCTGATACCGCTCAAGTAGTCAGACATTGTTAGGAGGACGTAGAATCAACAATTCCAACGCGAAAAAGAGCACGGGGACTCCCACCGACGCCGACAACAACGCAATTCAATGGTTTGTTTATGGGCGACGGCGGGCTTCTTGCCCACCATCCACGGCGCATGCGCGGCGCCGGTGACGTCCGCTAGGGGCGCTCCGGTTTGTTTGTAAACACGAGTTGGTGTATAGAAACGCGCTGAGCGGGTCTTCACAGTCCCAGAGAGTGGCAGAAAATTTCTAGCTGATAGAGGGCGCGAGAGCCGCATCAGCAACATGGCGGCGGCCTAGGAGCGTTTTTTGGAAAGGTGTATACCTATGATTAGAACTGTTTCTCGCTACCACCACTAGGGGATTCTTTTCGGCTTCTGGTTGGTCGAGAGAGCGTGCCAAGCCCTCTTTCTGAGTCTGGTGCATGCCCTGGCTCTGCCTGCACCTCCCATTGACCAAACTCTCTCTATACACGTCTGCTACCCCCCCCAGACCACTTCAGTTTCCTCACTAAATTTAGCGAAAAAATTGATGTCACGGGATCCCACATCAACCTCTAGGGCTCTAGGCCCTAGAGGTCGTCCTAGACATTCCTATTGTCGTCCTCTAGGATGTTGTCTCTGGCCTCGTAGCAAAATAAGGAGGTAAACATTCCAAATGCTATTGCAATTCATAGACAGCCAACAAAGTGGTTTCTGCATCCAATTTTTTTTTCCACTTTTTGTTTGATGTTTGGGCGTAGGTTTCCCTTCAAACAAGTAGTCGTTGGCTCGCGCATGTTTCTTAGTGTCATTTTACCGGTAAAGATTGCTTGTATCATGCATAAATCAGCATTATTATACCCTGTTATTCATAAAATTCTTCACATTTTGTCACAGTGAAGGATCTGGAAAAAAAACAAATCCTTGTATAATCTGCACCGGCTAAAATTAAAACTTGTAACCATGTATGGTCCGGAAAATAAGGCACATGTTGATTCACTTCCCGTTATTTTGTTTGCATTCAGAGAACAAGATGGCTCTGCCATACCACGAGCCTGCCAAGCTGTCGCTGAAGGCCTTCTTGGACCAGATGCGCTCAAAGCCATCGCCAGAACAACTCCAGCAGCCTGCCCAGGGTCATGTCGAGGAGCAAGCCTTGCCCCTTGAAGGCCAGCCGAGGTAAGTACCCTAGTCGGAGTTCTGGCGGCACATTTTTGTTACCAACGCTCAAACCTTCCACGATCGCATAAAGGCCGACGAACAGCCAGAAAGAAGAAAACCCTCCCTCGATTCTTCCTTTCCATACGAGCAAGAGCGAAGCCGTTCTCCTTTCTGTGGGGAGTAGCTCTGCTCCTGGGGTAAAGGGGTGCGAGAAGAATTGGAGAGAAGGATACTGGCAACCGGTTTCCTTCTTGCAGAAGAGGATTGTGTAGGTTGACCTTTAAGAAACGCTTGCAAAAGGGAAAAGTTTTTTAAACAACCTGGATGGGGAAAAGGAAGTCATAAAACGAATTTACAACGAAAAAGAAAAAATTTTAGAGCTATATCTGCGACAAAAAACAAATTTGTAGTTGGTGCCGCGGAAAGATGGCCGCTATTTATCGCGTCGCTGGCCACGATTTATCAAGTGGTGCTTGCGCTCTTTCGGAAGCTTCCTATGGTCTCTCTCTAAAAGTTACTTTTTCATCTTCGTTTGAAATGCAACAAAAAACAAAGAATAATAAGTACTACTTAGAGCCCAAAGGAAGCTCCGAAAAGAGTGCAAGCACCACTTGGTAGACCCGTGCGCCAATCAGAAATTGACTGTGGCGGTGCGCCAGAGTGTTCCCTTTTGGCGGCGGCGCACAAGTCTACCACGTGGCCAGCGGCGGCTTTTGCGGGCGCCTGCTACAAATTTGTTTTGCGCCGTAAATATAGCTCTCAAAATTTCTTTTCTTTGTTGTAAATTTGTTTTAAGACATTGTTTTTCCATGTAGGCTGTTTAAGAAAAAAATGCTCTTTACTTTGCATGTGTCCTACAAGGCTATCTTACACACTTACATTTGGGCACGCTCGAGTTTGTTGCACACCCTGGCAACCGGTTAAAGACAACCTACAGATCCTGTTCTGCTGGGAACAAAACCGGTTTCCACTCTCCTTCTCTCCATTCCCTCTCGCTCTTCTCCTCTCCCACAGAAGCTGGTCTCTGAGCTGCTCTTTGCAGAAAGCATAGGGAGTTCCCTCTTTCTTAAATGGAAAGAAGGAACTGAGAAAGATCTTTTTTTGTGGCATCTTATCGGCCTTTAACACACCGGTGCACTGGCGCCATCTGTCGAGTAGACCTGGAATACTCCCAGCCTGTGAGTGACTAGACTAAAGATTTTGCAGTATTTGCAACTTCAAATCTACACACTATTCGTGCAAAATAGTCGCTTAATTATAAGATATTCAGAAATATTTTAAACCTACAGTGGAAGAATGATGTGTGAAAAATTATAAAAATATATTTTCAATTGTCCAGTGCTACCACAGATGGCACCAGTGGGGGAATGTCTGCCAGCATCCAGCTGGCCTGTCTAGTATAAATCTTTCCAAAAATAGCCCTCTGGCCACTCTCCTTTGCTTATGATGATGGTACAAGTTTTGACTCTCACGACCCCTAGCAGTTACATATTTTCTGCCATCATCTTTTGCTGGGAAAACCTGCTCAGTGCAACTCTACTCGTGTTGTCCATGCAGAGTTCTCCAGCATTCTCTCAAAGTTTTACTTTATTTGCTATATTCATGCTGAATACGCCTAAATGCCTCATATTCAGGCATTTCTTGGCGTTCGTGGGAAACGAATGAAGAAAAAGACGAACGGCTCGCGATGCGACAGCGCAAACAACGACAACTGTCCGCTGATATAATTTCCAGAGAGTCTTCTTGATCTTTGCTAGCTTAATGGCTTGGGGGGGGGACTGATCAGTAATATCTATCCCTTTGCTTTGGTGCTGTGCAAAAAGCAAGCTCTTCCCAATCCGAGCCCATACTTCGTCCGGTCTTCGGGAAGTGACTTTCGTCGACACTGTCGATTGCGTGTGCTGTGTTACTTTAAAATCTTTCTCAAATAAACCCTGCTCGGATAATGCGGCACCGCGTGCTACATACAGTGTGCTATTCTTAAATTTCATGCTAGGGGACTGTTGCATACATGAAACATCTATTTGTGGGACGTACCCATGCCTTCCAGCTATCCCGTGTTAAATATTTTTTACAGTTAATAGCTTTGTCGATGGATACGGCTAAGTGCATGGCAGTGTAAAAAATCTGAGGCAAATGAAAAAAAAAGGAGATTCCTGTTGCATTTGTTTATTGCCAACATAGTTGCAAAAAATTTGCTAACATTGTTTGTGTTTGTTCCCAAATCTGGTACAACGCTTTCTAAAGGCCTTGAGAAAGTATACCGTATTTACTCGCATAATTCACACTTTTTAAAAAAAAATATCTGTAATTAGAAGGCGCTGCGCAAATTAAGCAGATATAATGGGAGCACGTCCCAAATAAGACATCTGCAAAGGCTGTAATGTATATAAAAACACAAATATACGAACGGCAAATGGTTTTTTTTATTTTACAAAACGCACCTACTTTGTTTACTCCGAGTCGCCGTTGGAGCTCTCGCACTTGGTACCAGGGCTGCGATCGTCGTGGCTGTCGTCATTCGCATTGCAAATAGCATTGTCTTAAGTTCCGTCGAGCGCATTTGATAGCCCCATCTTCTTGAAGCTCGACTCAACAATGCTGGGAGAGACCATGTACCACGCTGTTAGAGCCCACTCGCAGACTGTTTCCACGGGCAGCCTTTTTATCCTTCCACTGGGAGTGAGGCTGTGTTCTCCACTGGCCATCCATTCTACATAGAGTTTGCGCACATGGTCTTTGAACGGTTTGTTGATCGACACGTCCAAGGGCTGTAGAACCGATGTTAGACCTCCCGGGATGACAACAAGGTTCGGTTTTGTCGGGACGAGGTTGGTGTAAACGAAGCGTTTAATTCGGGTTAATGATACGTTACATGAGCAGTGAGCCCGCACGTCAGTCTCCATGCGTCCGTCGTGTTGACGTTCTCCGACCCAGACTCTCACACTCAGCCCTCTCGCTGGCTTCTTTGTCGTCTGGCTTGTGGCGCCCTCTTCGTGCTGTGGCTCTCACGACACCCCCCTTTCTTTGAAGATTTCCAGCACCTACATTCTGAGGCGGCTTGGAGGTCTTGATTTTCGTCCACCTCTCGTGACGGTTATTCCAGGCTGCCAAGGTTGCAGATGTCTGCTCGTGCGATGAGTGATGCCAGTGGCTGTGTTCACCGCATAATACCTAGGAAACTGCGTTGATTGCAGCACTGTCCCACTTGTGGCTGCTCCTGACAAAATTCACACAGCTGTATGTAGAGGTATAGGGTCACATTCTTTGACCCTATGACGGGCATCGTAATGTGCACCCAGCTTGGCTTTGTATGCGAGATTCTTTTTCCGAAAGGGCTTGCTGTTCCACCGAGGCTGGAACGCTTTGGACACAGCTGGAACATTTGTCCGTATCTTTCTTCCCATCATGAGTTCCGCAGGGGAGTACCCTTCAGTTGCAGGGGTATCCCGGTGAGCAAGCAGAGCCTTGTGGATGTTCGGCGACTTCTTAAGCAGCTGCTTCGCCGTCTGTACGGTCCTTTCCGCCGCCCCATTGCTCTGAGGATAATATGGGCTACTGGTTACATGGCGTGATCACCACTCCTTCGCAAACCTTTCGAATTCGGCAGAAGCGAATTGGGGCCCATTGTCTGACCGAATGATGGCGGGTGCTCCGAAACGGGCAAACATCTCGCTGAGTTTCCGTGTGATGTCTTGGGTTGTTGTCTTTCTTAATTTCTCAAGTTCAAAGAACCTCGAGAAATAATCACCACTACAAGGTAGTTTTCGCCATTTTCGTAAAAGAGGTCCGCGCCTACAACTTCCCATGGGTGATTCGGGAGTGGAGTGTGTAGCAGGGGCTCTGCGCCAGGCTTTCGGTGTGTCTGACACACTGGACATCTTGAAACATAGTCTTCAACACTCCTGCTGATGCCAGGCCACCAAACTGATTGACTGGCCCGAGCTCTGCAACTACCTACGCCCTGATGACCCGTGTGCAGGCTTTCGAGCACCTCGTCCTGCATGCTTGGCGGGATGACGATGCGACTTCCCTTGAGGAGAAGTTCTTCAACTACCGTGAGCTCTTGGGACACATTGGCATATTTCTGTACTGCAAGTGGCAGTGACACGCCCTTGGGCCACGTCGTTGAACAATAGTTCCTGACAGTCACGATAGTTGGATCTCGCTTTTGTTCTTCTTTGATCCTCTCCAGCATGTTGGTGGAGGCCGGTAGGAGTTCTACGCTGAGTAGCTCGTATTCTGTCAAAGCTACTTCGAGACTTCTTGGACTGCTGCTGTCCGTTGTTGCTTGCGGCTTCCGTGAGAGTACGTCAGCTGTATGGATCTCCTTTCCGGGGATGCGGGAGATTGTGTAGTCAAATTCCAGCAGCCTCATTCGCAGACGCTGTAATCGTGGACTCAGCTCGTCTATGCGCTTTGATGACAACAGAGGCACAAGCGGCTTATGGTCGGTCTCTATGTGGAATTGCAGACTGAGCAAGTACTGGCGGAAATGCTCGCATGCCCATGCGATTCCCAGCGCCTCCTTTTCTATCTGAGCGTAGCGTTGTTCGGTTTCTGTGAGTGACCGTGATGCGTAAGCGACAGGGAGTCGTTTTCCGGACGTCTCCTGAAGGGGGACAGCCCCAAGGCCGTACAAGGATGCATCCGCTGAGACTGTGAGATGACTTCGAGGATCGTAGTGCACCAGTACCGGTGTGGTCGTCAGTGCTTGTTTGACGGAGTCGAAACTTTTTTGTTGAGGCTATCCCCAGTACCAATCGGCGTCATGGTGAAGCAAATCGCGAAGCGGTTTCGTGAGTTGAGAGAGTCCAGGGAGAAATTTGGCCAGGTGGTTTGCCATACCCAGGAACGACCTGACCTCCGATACATCTCCTGGCAGTGTCAGTTGAGCGAGAGCATTGATCTTTACTAGATCCGCACTGACCCCGTTGGCCGAGACCACATGTCCGAGGAATTCTACAGACTGTTTGCGAAGAACGCATTTGTCCTTGTTGAGAGTTATGCCCGCATCT